TTGCACAAAAAAAAATCACTACTACACATGCAGAAACTAAGACTTTGTTTGAACATTAAAAAGAAAAAAAAAATTTAGAAAACAAGAAAAGATACGAGAAGATGAAGAAAAAATGGTTAAAAAATTAACCAAATAAAAAAAAATTTACAAACATCAAATTATGAGAATTTTAGAAGTTTTATAAAATCTCTTCTCTCTCCTTTTTTTTCCCTAAAAACTAACTCATAAAGAAAGGTTAAGGAAATAAGAATAAAAATTATAGTTTCCCCCCTCTTTATGTTTATTTTAAATAAGTAAAATTATTTAGTGTACATGTGTCGATAATATTTTCAAATTACTAAATTATATTGATTATCACATGGGGCTTTGAATGTCTTTCAATGTGGGCTGCTGAGTAACTGGAGGAATTGATCATAGGATACCGAAATGAAGATGAGGAAACAAATAATATAGATTGGAAGGGAAGCTCCGAATGCAAGAAGCCAAAAGCAGTTGAGTTGTCTGATATTTTTATAACATGACACATTACGTTTTCTCTTAATTATTATAATTCAATTATTATATTTTCTTTGTTTCCATCAATTTAAAATGTGAAGATCAATAGATGTAACCCCTGGCCGCCGATCCTGCTCATTCAGTTCCTCATGAATACAATATTGTCAAACAGCTTGGCCCCCACACCTTCTACTATACTTTATATTTCTCTAATTAATCTATCTAATTTAGTTTATTATTAATTCTTGGTTTGATTGCTAGTTTTCACCTAATTCTGTTCCTTACCAATTCCACTAGCTAGCTCAGGCCCCAAATCTGATGATGCAATCTTAATCACTTTCTAAATCGTTAATACCTGAGGTAAGTTGAAACTGCGAAAGTCTTTCTTTATAAACACAAATTAAGTACATGGTCCAGCTTCAAATATATCGTACTATATATATTGGAATTAAAAGTCACAGCTTCAACTGTGATGAACGCAGAAATTGACAAGTAAATAACTAAGTTACTTAATAAATATTGTATAACTAGAGTTCAATTCATGGTTATGTATATAAATTTTTTTTAAAAAGAGAATATTTTTTAACTGTCAAGTTGTAAAATTTTCTTGGTGCACCAAAAGAAATCATAAAATGTACATGTAGATGGAGGAGTAGTCGCAATTGGAGTGCCCAATCTTTTTCTAAACCATTAACAACCGTAATTAAGTGCTTGAGACCGATGAGGCAATATCTTAGAAATCTAATTAACACTGGCTGTTGGATATTATAGCCTCAAAAAAGGGATTATGCCAAACTAAGCACCTACTTTAACTAGTTAGAGATAGATATATACATATATAGATAGATATTAATCTTATTCTTCCAATATGCTTATGGATTCAAAAAGCATATAGTATCAATAACGTAGGATGGTCCTCCTATTAAGTCCATCATTAAATATGTAGGTTTATGCTTATGGGGGAGGGTAAAGGTTCACCCTCTCCGGTCCCATCTAACCCATTGCAGTTAAAGTCAACTAGTCTATGCATATATGGACCAATCATGATGCGTGTACAGTTTCTAAAACCATTTACCAAAGAAAATATGAACATCCTTTGAGACAGTCGGTGCCCTCTATGGAATAGTAGTCCTCAAATTAACCTTAGTAGTTGTGGTTAGTTGAGGTGGAAATAAAAAAGGCCAATGTTGTTACTTGTGATGGAAAATCTTGTTCACACACGAGACACATAGGGTTGTTGGAAATAGACAGAAAGAGTTATGACGAGGAATCGGAATATATATAAATTTTCAAAGCTCAGTAATCTTTAATCACGTGGACTACATATGGTTATAGAGCACAGCTTTGGCTACCATTATATATAACTAGCTGATTATTGGCTTCCTTAAATAGTTATTGTTAATCTAAAATAGAAAAGAGTATAAACAGAGGGGATTGTGCAGCTGAGTATACATGTGCGTGTAATGCATTAGTTCTATAGATTTCTAGACAATTTTCAATTTCTTTTTCCTGAAAAGATGAATGTGTAATAATTGTTAGATATAGGGCAACTAGAAATAGATTATTATCTATTTGAATTTGAATTGGATCAATTATATGAATTTTAGCCAACAAAAGAAAGAGATTGTTAAATGATTGTCTTGGCTTGGTCATCATCAAGTAATTATCTCATTAATTGTGGCTGTGTGACTGTAAGGTGAGGTGTCTTTGTCACTCAAATAATCCTCAGATCTATCCTAATGTTCGTGTTTGGTTAGGAATATTTCTTTCGCAATGTATATTTTTGTTTCCAGATACATATTTTAATTATATTCTTTAGACCGTAATTATTAAATTAATTTAGATTAGATCAACTGGCTTGACTTGAAAATTAGCCCAGCAGCCAATACGGGGTCATGCATATTAGATCACTCATATTCAAGGACTGACTTAAAACTAATAAATAAATAAAATATTAATATAATAAAAAAGTGGATAAATTTCAAATCTATTTAATAGAAAATTAGAAACTCAAATTTGACACTGCTAGATTTAACTTATTGGACATAATAATACTATATATTGTAAACTTTTGTAGTAATAGTTATATTAATATTGTATTATAAAAAGTATAGTTATGCAATTTCGTTTTGAGGTTCTGAATTTAAATTTATATTATTTATTATTTATATTTTGAATTAATTAATTAACCATGTTATATACTGATGTTATAGTTTTTAAAAATTTGAGGTGTGTGCGCATATATTAATTTAAATATCAATTCATGGTTTTTTTTTTATCATCAAATTAATTCATTGATTAAATTATTAACCTATAATATTTTAACTGACTAGATATTTGAATTGAGCTTAATAATACTTTATTAATTGATCGACAAATTCTTGTGAAAATTTAGGAGTGAAATGGTTATGCCTCTTTGTGCTTCTTTTTCTCATTTTGTACTACAAATAATCTTTAACTGATAGTTAAAGATTAATATCTTTTAAAATATACTCTCTTCATATTTTTATTTAATATTTAATATTTTTATATAAATTAAATAAATAATTGGTCTTTTAATTTTTATAAATAAATATTAATCTTTTATTAGAAAATATTATTCATACTTTTGGAATATTAGAAATCAGAGAAAAAATATTAAAAGTATTATTAATACACACCAATTGAAATGATTTTCCGATAAATATTTTTTAACTTTTAAATTTTTTTAACTAGTACCCACCTTTATTATATCCTTCATCTGTTATATTAATTACCATTGGTTAGTGAAAAATAAATATTTTTAAAAATAAAAATATATTTGTCAACCAAACACATTAACTATTAAAGATAAAATTGTTTATTAATTTCATAAAATGACAATAAAAAAAACAAAAAATTGTTAAAGTGTAAAATAATAATAATAGTAATCGGAGTAAATTTAGACTACTTAAAAAATTAAAAAGGATTGTGTTATTATTAGCGGTTAACCTTGGCCTGTCATTAGCATATTTAGGTAACAAATCTTTATCCATTCCAAGGCCAATTTCTCATGGAGTCCTTTTCCAACATGCAACACTTTACATTTGTTCACAATAAAACATGATTTATTGTGAAAGAAACAACTCTTAACACCTTTTGAAATGGAAGAAAAAGAAGCGCAAAGAAAATAGCAGATTTTATCTCACAAAACGCTCACGATCACATCAAGGATACTGCTGCGAGCAACAAACTAGGCAGTGCCAGCCCAGCAAGTTTAAGCTTTATGAGGTAACATCGTCGTCGTCATGACCAAACAATAAGATCACATTCCCAGACATGTTTGGTGTCATTCTAACGTAAATGTACGCTTATACACGTACATATATACGCACGTCAACTACTACTACATCTAGTTGTACTGTAGCTAGCTATATAAGCTTGCCTTGTGACTTCTCATGAACACAATGCACAAGTATTCATCACTAACACTTTTTGGAATTGGACGGTGCATCAAGGGTCCCCCACAGTCCAAATTTGTGGGTCCCACACCATGACTCTGACAAAGACAGAGGTATCACGGACGGTCCTATCACCTTGCATTGGGAAAAGAGAACTCTCCCCCACAGGCCCACTATATTGTATAATGGACCCACGTATCAAACTATATTATTTAATCCAAAATCATAACATTTTTGATCAATTATCATATAATATATAGTTTTTTTTGTAAATTAACAGTTTATCTATATATTATTATGTGATTATTAACTGAAACTACACAGAGTAATAATTTATTTTTCCTCTGTTACTACAATCTCATCAGTGTCCGTGTCGTCTATGTGAATGTGAATGCTTCTCTGACCCTGAACCTCTGATCTGATTTAATCTCTCGCATGCTAAAAAAGGGTCTTCATCGCTGTAATTATGGCTTAATCATTCTACACCTGATAAAGGATCCAATAAAGGTAAACCACTTTTTCTGTTACCCCCTCGCTCGTTCTCAAGAACAACACAGCATCCTTTTTTTTAAACCTTGATTTCCTATATCTACTGCATGCACAACACCACAAGCAGTCAAACACAACCCTCCCAACTATATCTAATAGTCTACTACTAGTAATAGCAGTTATAGTAGTACTATTTAGCTCTCGAGATATTCATCCGAATATTTTTATTCACTTCAACGAAAAGTTAGTAGTACTTGGAAAGCCTTTTCAAAAAAATAATAATTCGGCCTTTTAAGCAAATAATTGGAGTTTGTGCTCAAATATATATGTGCTCTACGAAGACACTAACCTTACCCTCCTGCTTCTACACATTCAAATTTCTGGTTTACTAGGCAAAAAGGCAAAAAAAAAAGCTCCCTCAAACACAAGACACACTATTCCACGAATGTGCGTGTGGTTTGTGTCTGTTTTTGTGTGTCTCTGTGTGTGAGTGTGATAGAGAGAGAGAGAGAGAGAGAGAGAGAGAGAGAGAGAGAGCGTGTGTGTAATGTGCGTGTGGTGGCCCATCAAAACATATGGCTCACCGTCTTTGAGGATACCAGTAAATAAGATGAGAAAGAGACTATTCTCTTAAGACCAAAGACAGCAAGAGAGAGAGAGAGAGAGAAGAGCTGAGGTGTTATCTACAGCTATCATATGGTTTATATGGGCTTTTGGTTTTATCTTCAAAGAAATGAAATCAAACAAACGAGAAACCAGATCATCACCAGTTGGAAGCTCTTGCTTATTGCATTAGTATATAGTTTCTTTTTCAGGCTTTAAATACTTTTGGTTCGATTCAAGTTTTCGTTTATGGCTTTTTCTTGTCTTTTGGCAGAAGGATATATATAAGGCCAGCCACTCTCTCTTTAAAGAATTTGGGTACCCTCCAAAAGAATTTATGTTCGTTTCTTGGCTTTTGCTACTCCAAAACCATTGTTTTCTTCCTTGTACTGTCTGAAACCTTTGAAACTTCGCTGTTTGCTTCTGCTCACTGCTTTGCTTTGCTAGCTACCCCTTCCAATACTGCTTAAACCTTCACTTTTATTTTAATATGCAAATGATGCCCGGTGATCCCTTTTCCTTATCCACTTCCATTGGAGGCTTCACTCAAGAACAAAACACAAACCCTAACCCTAAACCTAACCCCCCTCCCAAGAAGAAGAGAAATCTTCCAGGAACGCCAGGTCACCTTAAACACTTCAAATTTGATGATAAGTTTTTATGCTTTTTTCTTTCTTTCTTTCAAATGGGTTTTGAAAATTTTCATTACAGATCCAGATGCCGAGGTCATTGCTCTTTCTCCAAAGACTCTCATGGCCACGAACCGATTCATATGCGAAATATGCAACAAAGGGTTCCAGAGAGACCAAAACCTTCAGCTTCACCGAAGGGGTCACAATCTTCCATGGAAGCTACGACAGAGATCCAACAAAGAGGTAAGGAAGAAGGTTTATATCTGTCCTGAAAAAACCTGCGTCCACCATGACCCAGCAAGGGCACTCGGTGACCTCACGGGCATCAAAAAGCACTTCAGCAGAAAGCACGGCGAGAAGAAGTGGAAGTGTGAAAAGTGTTCCAAGAAATACGCAGTCCAATCCGATTGGAAAGCTCACACCAAAACCTGTGGCACCAGGGAATACAAATGTGACTGTGGCACCCTCTTCTCCAGGTAATTAATTAATATATTTATACTTTGTTTCCCTTGTATATATGTCTAAGTGAAATAAATGCTTATTTATATAAATGCATATGTGTGTGTAACATAAACATACTAACATGTCCGAGGTTTTTCCATTCGTGCGTGGCATTCAGTTTGGAATTTAATGCTTTATGTATATTATATGGTTCAAAGGATGAGGCAATTAATGGGGTTTTGTTGGATTTTGAACAGAAAGGACAGCTTCATTACGCATAGAGCATTTTGCGATGCCTTGGCTGAAGAGAGTGCAAGGCTCACCTCAGTTGCTACCACAAATCTAAATTTCAAGAGTGAAGAAGGGTCGCAGCATGGTTTGGGGCATGGACTAATTGGAGCGCAGGGTCTTCAAAATGTAGTTGGGATTCCACAGTTTGGTCCACATGGTTTCCGTTTGGATTTTAATGGAATGAGTGCAGAACAACAAAGGCCAAGCTTATCGCTGTGGTTGAATCAGGGAAATCCACATATGAATACTGGTAATAATACTAATCCTTCTGATGTGGGGCCCAATTACATGTCCTCATGCTCTTCTTCAGGTTTGCCTGAGATTGTGCAAATGGCTCAGGCTAATGCCTTGATGGGTTCTTCATCAATAGTGTCTAATTTTGGAGTGCCTGCTGCTTCTAATTCGACTAGTGCAAACCTTTCCCTTTCTTCACTTCCTATTGGGAAAAGAGGAGAAGCAGGTGGAACTGTAGTGGACTTGGCATCTATTTATTCTGAGGGTCAAAACAAGCAATCAAAGCCTGCTTCACCCATGTCAGCAACTGCTCTTCTTCAGAAAGCAGCGCAGATGGGTTCCACAAGAAGCACCAACCCTTCCATCTTCAGTGGTAGTTTTGGAGTGATGAATTCGCCTTCTTCACAAACTACCAGTCTCAATAATAATAATAATAACGGTAGTGCAGGTGCAGCCATGATGCTGGGAAGTAGTACTAGTACTAATACTAATGAGTTTAGTTCGCTGACACATTCATCAAACGGTTTTGACCAACTTGTGATGCAAACCAATGGGCATTTACAAAGTACCGAGCCAGTGAAATTGAAGCTTCATTCAAACGCTGTGGAGCACAATTTGACTAGGGATTTTCTTGGCGTGAGTGGAGGAGGTGCTGCCGCTCAGTTCCTACCCCAAGAACTAGCGAAGTTTGCTTCCATTGGCTCACCAATGGGATTGAGCCAATTCACAAGCAATCAATGAACGAACTCGTTTGGTTTCTGAGACAACCCCGTTTAGCGTGATGGCCCTTCATATGTAAGATTACATGAAAATATCAAACTTGAAGGTTTGAAGTTCATGAAATGAAACATCATGTGTTGGGGGGAAAATGAGTTAAGAGAGTATGTATCTCTTGTGAGAGATAGTTCATGTTGTTAGAGGTTCGATGGGCCCCACTGCATGTCTTTGGTGAACGAGAGGAATATCGAACACCCCGAGTCATGCATGTTCTCTCAATTGTTATTGTTGTTTTATCTTCTGTCTTAACCATGTTATCCTTTTTGGCTTCTCTTCCTTGAGAGAATTGAAGGTATAAAATAATGAAAGGAATTCTTAGTGAAATGCTGAAAATTACGTGTTACATACCATTAGGGTTGACCGTCAAAACCGGTTTCTAGGCCAATTAGAAAAAAAAAATTAAAAAGAAAAAGTATTCATAATATTATTAGTTGCAAGAATGCTAAAACAATTTGATTCCTTTTATATGTTTCACAAGATTTTCAGTTTTAATAATAATAATTCAGGGGAGTTTCACTTTGATCAGGATATGATGATAGGGCCTTATATTACCCAACCTTTTGGTAGATATAAAGTGCAGCCAGCACAGTACTTGTTAAGTAGCCAGAATCTAGGTGCCAGACTAGCTTTTTGGTAGACCCTGATAACTATGACAAAGTGAAGCTCCCAGCTATGCTGGGGTAAACAGTGAAAGTCCCCGTTAAGCCGTTAGATGTGTCAAGAGCTTTTGCTTTTGCTATTGCTAATTGCAAATTATGTCCTAGTCATTAGAATCATGTTCAAATTATAAGAGTAGATCAATTAAAACTCTCAATTTACAAAAATATTAATTTATTTTTTAGCTTTATAGAACTATATTTATTTGACTCGTTTTTAAGTAAAATAAAAATTAAAATAAGTAAATTTTAAAAATTACTATTAAATTATTTTTATAAAATGAAAAACAATAATAACTAATGTTTATAAATTAAAAGATTAAAATAGATATTTACTTGTTTAGAATGAAGGTTGAATGTATGGCTAGCTGCTGGTCAAACCTGTTTGACTGGATGAGTGTATAGAATATGGATTGACATTTCATTGCTTGACACTTCGTGGTTGCTGCTTTCTCCGCACAGTAACTGTAAAGTGTGTCCTTGACTGCTTCCAATTTGGATCGATGTCCGAAAACGATGCAAATCATCGTGTAAAATCAAGAATTTAGCATACTTTACTGGTCGATATGTGGCCTATTATTATACAGCCCGGCATAACTAACGGAGTAATAAATTTTCTTGTCTTTGTCTGGAAATCTGCAAGGCAATTGGATATATATACATGCAATAGAATGGAAATAAAAATCACTTTCTTTGTTTATATATGAAACAAAATAGAATAAATAGATATGCATTCAATCTTGTGTTTAATTTCTTTGCTTAATTTGAAAAAGAATGAGATAATAAAATGATTGTGTTCTTTCTTTTTCTTATCATGAAATGATAATATATTTCATTCATTAATATATTGTATTTCATTCTATTTCATCATGTTTTATTAAATTTAATATTTCCTGCTAATTATAAATGATTGCTTGAGTGAAAATATGAGAGAGAAAATATATATAAGAGGGAGTTGATTAAAAATAACGTGTTTCTATCATTTGGATATTCAAGAAAGAAAAAAAAAGGAGGAGTATATTAGGATGGGTTCACTAAATCAACTTTTCTTTAGTTGCTTCTTCTTGTGTTTTAACAGAACATGGTTACTTCACTAATGGTTTTTCATGGATCAAACGAGTTTAGTTGTTTACTGAGTAACCACTATCGCAAATGAGGTTGTAAACTACTTGTATGAATTTTTGGGAATTCTATTTGTAAAGTAGAGTGGCTTTTGTTTCAATTAAACATATAGTAGAAAAGGTAAAAATGTCTCTAGATATATAATTTTCTCTTTTGCATTCATTAAAATAATATTTTTATTTCTTTCATCTATTCAAATAAATCATAATACAATTAGATTCATGGAATAAAATGAAAACACAATTCATTGATTCGATTTTATTATTTAAAGTAAGACGAAATAAAATAGAATATAACGAGATGCATTACATCTTATTATATTTAGTATTAATTTTAAATTATTTTAATTTGAAAGCCTGAGATACAATCACTCTTTTATTGTGAAAGTAACAATTAAATGATAATTTATTCTATTATAACTTGTTATAATTTATTTCATTGCATCTTACTTTGTTAGATTTAATTCATTTTTTTTTACCATAAATGATGAGATATTCAGATCAAGGATGTCTGTTATTTAGCGCAAACATGATGACAACAAAAATAACACGAAGGTGTTATGATTTCTTATTAGAAAAAGTAAGTAAAAAAAAAAGATACTTAAATAAATGGTGGTAATGTTTCATAAAGCATTTTGTACTAACATAATTTGTACTATTCGAAAATGTATATCAGAATCAATTTTAATTGAAGGGCTAACAAAATATTGAGAATGATTTTTTTTTTTTTCGGGCGAAATGTAATGCACACAAATTTCTTGTAAGCATCCTCAATTTTCATACAAAAAATTCAAATATCTATGAACTTAAGAATGTGTATCGATTCGTTGCCGTTTTGTAGTAATTGGGTCTGATTCCTTCAATTGATTCATTACATCTGTTGACAGGTTGAAGGAGTGCATGGCTTTTGTAATGAGTTTGGTGACGATGCATGATCAACACCCATCTTAAGTTCACTTTTTTTCTTTTTAAATTTGTTTTTGCATAGGAAGTAAGTAAGAAAAAACATCAGCTTTTAGAATGTACTTGTATTTACTATATTGATTTTATAATGTTTCATTTCTTTGTGTTATTTTATAATGTTTCATAACTTATTCAATATAAAGAGTATGAGAACAATTGAAAGTTGCTCTCAATTTTGTTTTGAAAATAGATTGTAGAGTACAAATTTTAAAACAGTTGTCTATAAAATAGGTTTTTCTATTAGATTTTGTATTGTGTTTTTTGTTTTATAGATACAAAATGCCATTCTTAAGAACTACAATTAAACAAGGCCTTAGTCTGTCTATATGTCATAAAATTTTTTGTTTTTCATTCTCTATATTTTTTTTTTACAAGATTCTTTTATTCTCTATAAAACGGTCAAACAATAATCTAAAGTTTATAAATTATGTGGGGTGACAAATTTAAATTCAAATGAGAATTAACTATGATTATAATATTTTAAATTCTTTTACATATAAAAAATATTTAATTTTACATGAAGTGAAAATTTTAAACTTTAATCATATTTAATTTGAGATTAACAAAAATTAAACTATAATATTTGATAGGAATATAAATATAGAATGAAAATATTAACACTGAAGAAGCCGTGTGATTTAATAAAAAAAATTGAAAAACTTTCTCTTAAAAAAAAACAGTTCATAATGTAAATTAAATGAAACTTATTTGTATTTTTTTCACAAAAAACTATTTTATTCTGTAAAATGAAGAGGAAAATGGTAGGAAATTCGGTTATGAGATTTAATAGAATCCTAAAAGAAATTGTACTACTAATTGGACAAATGGAATGCTCAATTGAGTAATTTGCGTCAAATTTTCGTGATACATCGAAATATAAATATAATTATATCCTAAAAAAATTGCTTCAACATATGATATTCTTTTGTACAGATTATTAAAAGCTCTTGATTGCATCAAGATTTTGTTATTTGGGTGATTCTTTGTTATCCTTATCTGTTTGGTATGGAAATTTAGATTAGAAATAAATAAATAAAAATGAAGAGGAAATTGATAGGACCTTTAGTTGGCATGTAGAGACAAAGTTAAACGGAAATAATTTTTTGGACCCTACATATTTTACCCCTCTCCCTTTTTAAGGGTTTGTTTGGTACGTCTTTTTAAGATTAAAAATGAAGAAAATGATTCGATTATTGGAAGGATGGAGTGCATTCAAACAAATTGTGATGCAAAAATTTTCAAGGGATTTACTAGTTAGGGACTTCAATTTGAATTTACTTATTATAGGTTAATAGATTTTTGAATTAATCACATAGAATGATATCAATTTAATTAAAAGGTTATAAGTTCATTAGTTTAGTCTTTTGTGGTCAAAGGAACTAAGTTATCGATTCAATTTTTCTTTTTTATATTTGAATTGTCAATTTTATAATTTTATGGACAAAAATATATTTTTATCATTAGTGAATCAAATTTAATGGCCATATATTCAAATCCTTGACTCAGTTTTAGATTTTGTTAAATTCAAGCTAAAAGTTTAATTAACATACAAGTTTACGTTAAAATAATAACTTAAAACATAAATTTTTTATTAAAAATTATAATATTTAATATTATGAATATATTAGATCTTATGACATTTTATGGTTTTTTCTATAAAATTTCTTATATACATATTTTTATTGTGTGTTTTTAAGCACATATTTTAAAAAATTAAATTCTAATTAACAATTTAACAAAATCATAAAGTAATTTTTTTAAAAAAATAATTTTATTTAAGCTTTAACATGATTATTAAAAATCATTAAATATATTTAAATTTAGACAACAACAAAATATTTATTATATTTGAAAATGATTATTATTTAAGGGTTTGTATAAAGAATAAAAAATTAGTAAATACTCTACATTTTAGGAAAATATAACCATACTTAACTAGCGTGTTTTGAATCTATATATCGTATACAAATTACTCAAGTCACTCATCGTTGATTCTAATGACTTGATTCCTTTATTCTTCTAATTATATATAATGACTTGATTCCATTATTCTTCTATTATGTTTACATTCCACTAATGGATTTACATATTTAGTTATTTTAATTTTAAATTATTACGTAAGACCTTCTATTATATTTTCTAGTAATCTTTTTAATATTTTTTAAAAATATGTAAACTCGTAGAAGGATCCTAAAAAGCTTTAAAACTAATCATAAAAAAGCTCAACTTTTAAAAAGCCAAGCATTTCTTGGTATTTACACTCAATTATGAACTTGAAAATCTCTAGGGTTAAAAAACTTTCTAAAGGCATTTAAAGGTAGGGTACGTAGTGATGGCCCTAGCTATTTATTTTTCTGGGATTTGACTTGTGTAATGTGGCCGTCATAATTCAAAAGTTGTACTAATTTGTTCTTTCCTTTTGTTCCTTAATCTTTGAAAAAATACAACCAAAGAGGATTAGAAAATGTTTGCGATGCAACGTGGAACATAGAAAACCCAAGATGTTTCCTTAATCAATGCTCGAGGAAAGAAACCCTAGAACAATGCTTTCATTTTGTTCTTTTGGGACAATGTCTTTGGGGATATCAATCCTCAATATTTGTTTACTTTTATATATGCACCCCCTCACCCTGTCCCTTCTTATATAGCTGTATCCATCCTCAATATTTGTTGCGTATCTTCTTAATTATTTAATATATTTTATGTTTTTCGCATAATAATAAATAAATATTTTTATTTAATACTCACTCAATAAAATAAAATAGTAAAAAAGATTAGAGGATATAATATTATTCACCTCCTATTTAATACTTTTTATTGAAGAAAAGAGAACAAAATGTTATTGAAGTAAAAGAAAGAAAGTAAAAAACATTCATGTTAACAAGAGCTTAACACCGTTGTCAAAAATATATTAATATATTTTATTATTTCACAAACTTTACTAAAGAATATTTTAAGAATAGCAAACTAATATATATATATATATATATATATATATATATATATACTTTTACACTTTTATTCAATAATTTTAAAAATAAAATTATGCATTTTTATTATATTTTTAATTAATTAATTTTTTTATAATTTTCTTGGTTAATATTTTAAAAGTTCTTGTTAGTATTTAAAAAAGTAATAAAACAAGCGTAGAGATATAATAAGAAAAATGAAATTTATTAATTATTACTTTAAAAAAAATAACATATAAATAAATAATATTCAAACCATAATATAAAAAAAAACATACTGGTATTTACGGTTTGTTCTCTATAAATATGACTGTATTAAAATTTTGTTAGTGTTTAGTTTCTAAGAACTTTTAATGATAAAAATTAGTATTTTTTTAGAATTAAATGAATTTTTAATTATTCAAAAAAGTTAGAAAATAAATATTGATAGTATTTTATAAAAAAAATTTAAATAACAATATTTATAAACATAAAAAATATAGATAAATTAAATCAAATATTACAAATATTGGTTAGAAAATTTAAATTATTTTTTAAAAATCTTACCTATTTTAAAATAATTTTCATATTATTTTTTAAAACAAGTATGTAATAAAAAATACACACATTTATTATCTTAAAATTATAAAAAATATTTAAAAATTTTTATTCAATTTTTAAGAAGATTATATTATATATATATATATATATATATATATATATATATATATAAGTAAGAGGTGAGAAAAATTAATAATTACTATTAGTAAGAGAGAGAGCAAAATAGATAGTAAGGTAGCAACATCAAATTTAAACTATTTATTTTGATCTAATGACTATTATTAATGTTTCTCGTCTTCGTAATATCAAGTTTCTCTCTTAAAATACTCTTTTATATATATATATATATATATATATATATATATGTCTCCTCATAATTATTAAAGTATCATAACATAAAATTTAGTTATATTTTAATTTTAATTCTTTATCTGTAGGGGAAAAAAAAAACTATAGGCCTTAAGAAAGGTTGTCCAATGGCCAATTGGTTGTGTTAATACTCAGAGCGTAGGCCCAGTCTAGTAGCTAGGGAGCAAAAACAAGATTCTTGAAAATGCTTTTGAAAATACAGAAGCAAAACATTTTTAAATTGCCTAATCAGATTTCAACTTTTTATTGGTATTTGTCATCACCAGCTTTTTCAAACGGCCTCGCAATCTCTTTGAAGTTTGAACACCTTGTCCCCTAACAGTTATATATATATATATATTTAATGAAACATCTCTTTTTTCATTTATTCAAAGCAAACATGCTCATAAAAAAACTTAATTATTTAATGTATACAATTTTCGTGAAAATAATATATTTGGGTTCTCTTTCTTAGTCAATGAAGTGGCCCATTTTCCTTTTATGGGCTACTGTATTTAGGGGGCTTGATTAAATTCTAGTCCAGATATTAACCACAAAGTTTGACAAAAAACAATAATAATCATAAGAACAAATGTTTATTAAAGTTTCATTGTGAACCACAAATTAACTTTTAATATTTTTTCAAATTCAATTTCCATCAAATTTTACAACTATACATACACTCATTTCTGCACAGCAATTTTTTTTTTCTTATGGTTCGCATTTTGATTAAATGTCAATTATATTTAAAGATGGTGCATTGGAGTTATTTGCGTTGATTTGGTCCATCTTATTTGGGTCAAAAGCTTTTTATGCTTTGTTTGGTCATGGGTCAAAAGTTGATTTGGTCCTTTGGGCTTTGGGTATAGTCTTTAATGGATTTAATACCCAAGCTCTCATCCAATACCACAAAGCCCACTGTGGATGACGAGTATTCAGTACACAGCACATATTCTGACCAAAAAAATAAGAAAAAGAGTACACAGCATATACTCTTTCACAAAAAACAAGAAAAAGTAAACACAACTATGAGCATATTCATCAGTTTCTAGAAGCCAGCTTCGTAGATAACTGTTTTTTTTAATAATTAATAAAATACGATTGAGTCCTCTATGAATGGTAGTTAAAAAATTTTAAATAGAAAAGTTATTAAACTTTTAATGCACATACAATATTTTTTTATTAAAAATTACATATTTATTTGTTTCTCAATTTGTTTACAGTGATTAATAGGATTTATTTTGGTATATACTTTCGATTTATTTGGATGAATATAAGAAAAATAAAAAAATATTTTTTAATTTTAATTTTTTCACTCCCTTTATTTTGCTTTTATAAAACTAAAATAAGGTAAAATTTTATTTAAATGAGAAAAAAATATTTGTTTATGCTTAATTTTTGAAAATAAAATTTGAAATGTTTTTCTTTCTCTCGTCTTCTTTCCAAAGAAGCAAACAAGCAGCGAGGGTTGTGATGTGCAAATTTCAACCTTAACCGGAAAGTATTGTTTGGTATATTTTAAACGGAAATAAAATATTTAAATGACAAATGAAAAATTGTTTACTTAAAATCAGGGCCGTCGATTTCGTTGACCGACGGGCATCAACGTCAAATCTGATCACGGTGCAAAACAATCCACCCCATTTCTTCTTCTTCTGTGATCTGCAGCTTCAACAGTAACAAGCACAAATATCAAACAAAGCCATTGTTGAACAAAAAAACGAAAAGCACAAAGAGAAGAGAACGAAGCTTTGAAGGACGAAGCTGTGAAGCATTGAACTGAATTAAAACCCTAGCATTAGCATAGCTATAGTTACTTATAAACAGTAGAGTGAAGTTAGTGTGATGTGGTGATCGTGTCAACAGTTTTGATTCCAATCGTAATCGTAACGATGATCAACAACGCCAACGGCATGATTTCAACGTCGTCTTCGTCGAATGCGACACAAACCACTGGCCTGAAGACATATTTCAAGACTCCTGAAGGTCGATACAAGCTTCACTATGACAAGTCTTACCCTTCTGCTCTTATTCACTACGCACATGGCAAAACCGTTTCTCAGGTAACCTCTCTCTCTCTCTCTCTCTCTCTTCTTCTTCTTCTTCTTCTTCGTCCTTTTATTTCTTAATTTTTATGTGTTATGTGTCTTTACATCGTGCTTCGTTAATTTTGTAGTCCTTTATAGCGTTTACCTTATGATTCATGCTTAGTTGAATGTTTATTTCAGATATTTAGGTTTTCTGTTTTTGTAAGTTCAATTTTGGCTTTTGTGTTGATGCTTCAATTATTTTTACAGGGTCGTTTTGTAAGTGTGTCTTATTCAGTTCCTTATATGTGTGTCTTACAAGCTATCTGTTTTGTGGAATCATTTTCTGGCACATACATTTTTATGAGTGTATCTTCGTGACTTTTGTATCTGTGGACACTGTTTGTGGAATTAGAATATGATGTGTTTTAATCTTTTGCACCTTGTTGGTTGGGTTGAATGATCATCAGGTAACTCTGGCACATCTCAAGGACAAGCCGGTGCCTTCAACCCCGACGGGGCAGTCTTCGAGTTTCAATGCCAGCAGTGGGGTACGGTCAGCGGCGGCAAGATTGTGGGGAGGAAGCAACGGAAGCCGGGCTCTTAGTTTTGGAGGCAATGGTAGCAGCAAGAACCTTGGGGGAAATGCTAGGATTGGTTCTATTGGTGCCTCTAGTTCAAGTAATTCAATGGCTAATTCAAATTTTGATGGGAAAGGAACTTACTTGATCTTCAATGTTGGAGATGCAATTTTCATAAGTGATTTGAATTCTCAAGACAAGGTATGCTGGTTGGGTAAGGGTGGATTGTGTGCATATTTTATTTTCTTCACAAGAGATTTCTTGTTCGATGTAGGATCCCATAAAATCTATCCATTTCAGTAATTCAAATCCTACATGCCACGCATTTGATCAGGATTCTAAGGATGGGCATGATTTGCTTATTGGCTTGAGTACTGGTGACGGTAAACAGAAAAGCTTTCATTGGAATTTAAATTTGTATTTTGGAAGGAATATTTAAAATCTATCAATTTATTCCTATGTGTATTATTGTAGTTTACTCAGTGTCACTGAGACAACAATTACAGGATGTTGGTAAAAAGCTTGTTGGGGCCCAGCATTACAACAAAGATGGTTCTGTCAATAACAGGCAACGTTTGATCCTTTGTGATGTTTTTTACTTCTAATGTTAGCCTTTCTGAAATGGCTGCATGACATAACTATTTTGCTAGCTATTGTGCATTTGTATTACTGAGAGATATAAATATGGGTTCTCTGTGACAGATAAGAGTAGTAAGCCATCATATGAAGTTGTTCAGGGAACATTAGATGTAAAGGGGCGCTCTGACTGTCATGTGTTTAGGCTGTGTCTTTTATGAGTTTATTTGGATAAACTTTTTATTTATTTTTTAAACTATGGTAGTTATCTGCTAAGTTTAAGCATGTTTTCTCTTCCTGTTCACATGGTTGAGTTATTCTTTCCATATTTTCTGTTTACCTTCCGTTTCAGCCTCCATACATGTATGCTGCACTTTTATAGTGATTTGTCTACGTGCTAATCATATTTATCTTGGTCTGAACTATTCTCTGTCTGAAGACAATTTTTGATTAATGGAAAAGTAGTTTAGTTGTATACAGCTGAGGTCTTAGGAATCGATTGAATCATCCCTGTACTTCTACTCGATAGAGTGATCGAATCGGACGCAATGCCATTGATTGAATTTCAATAGGCTCATTATTTAAAGTGTATATTGTTCATACTTGGTAGAGTTTGTGAATGTTGGTTTGTTATGAAATTCAATGGTCTTAAACTCTTTGCATTGAGTAATATGTAGAGAAACTAGAGGTCATTTCTTGAAATTATTAATTGTTAAAAAAAGTCCAAACTATATCAAAGATCTTTATGTATTGGATTATCATGTGAAAGAAACTGTATAAAAACTAGCTTTGAATGATGCATTTTGCCTTGAGCAGCCGTTGTACTTGTATTGCTTGGGTTCCTGGAGGTGATGGTGCGTTTGTTGTAGCTCATGCTGATGGGAATTTGTATGTATATGAAAAGGCAAGACTCAATAATCAAGAGATATGCCAACTTTGATTCAATTAAAACTATGGTGATTTGAGCATGTATTGACTTTCCCTTCCACTTCCAGAACAAAGATGCTGCTGGCGATTCTTCATTTCCTGTTGTTAAAGATCAAACACAATTTTCTGTTGCCCATGCACGTTACAATAAGGTATCAAGTTTGACACACATTTATGAATATGTATAATTGCATTTTAAAAACTCCACATTTGAATATTTTTTAAAAATTAATGACAATTTGCCAAGTTTAGTCATATGGTAGTTTTTGGTTTGTATGTAGACATCTGTATAAAATACCATGTACTTTACCATTGGCGGTGTCCTTTAATATCTGTAGTGTTGTGGCTCAAACTATGTAAGGGGTTGGCAATGCTACTATTTACATTTATTAGTATTATTCTTTTTACCTTATGAAATTGTTAATTCTTAGTTCTTACAGAATGTTGCAAATTGCATTTAGATTGCTTAACACTTGAATTTGATTAGCCGTGCATTTAATACATTTATGGCTTAATTTGTGTAGGATGGATTCTAGATTTTTCTGTCATGGAGACCTTTGTGTGCTATCTCTATCATTTTTTATCTTTATTTTTTACTTTTAACATTGACTTATGCAGAGTAATCCAATAGCGAGATGGCATATATGCCAGGGTTCAATCAACGGTATTTCTTTCTCAACTGATGGCGCTTACATAGCAACTGTTGGAAGAGATGGTATATTTTTTTATCCAACACCATCACACTGTGTGGTTATAGTTCTGTTTTTACCTAATTTTCTTTACAAAAATGTCTTCATGGATTTATTTTACTTCATTCAGGTTATTTACGAGTGTTTGATTACTTAAAAGAACAACTTATATGTGGTGGGAAAAGTTATTATGGTGCTTTGTTATGTTGTGCTTGGAGGTGAGGCATATTTGGTTTAGTCAATCAATTAGTGGATTGCCGTCTTTGTGGATCTCTTGTTTCCTTAGTTCATTTCTTTCTCTAGAGCTTCTAAAATTATAGTATTGCTTAACTTACTATAGATTGTAATTATGGTTCTCTGTCTTCTAACTCACACTTCAAAAATGTAATTGCATAATGAAAAGTCTTCTTTAACAGCATGGATCGAAAATACGTTTTGACTGGAGGAGAGGATGATTTAGTTCAAGTTTGGAGTGTGGAGGATCGCAAGGTTGTGGCATGGGGTGAGGGACACAACTCATGGGTAAGTTGTGTGGTAATTTTGACTAGACAAAATTTTTTGTTCAATAGTACTAAGTTTTTGAGAAGTTGAGCTTTGGCACAACAGTAAGGTTCCTGCCTTGTGATCTGTTGGTAAATATCTTCTGATCTTGCATTCATAAAGGTTGTGTGCAACCAACCTTCCCCTAACCCTGCACTAGACTGTTGCTAATACTTAATTTTGCTGTTGTCTGATGCTTTATCAGGTCAGTGGGGTGGCTTTTGATTCATATTGGTCATCCCCTAATTCAAATGACAATGGAGAGACCATTAGATATCGGTTTGGTTCTGTTGGTCAGGTACTCAGAAAGATATTATTATACATTTTCCTGTCTCCTAGTGTAGCTTTGGCTCTATTGCTTGAAAATTGTGCTTTTCACCTGAATTTGTTCTCTTTTTATCTCATGATGACATTTTTTTTGGTGGGGGGGGGGGGGGGGGCAGTTTTGAAAATATATTGCTGTATCTTTTTGAAGAAGTTGGCTGGTTGCTAGTTGGAGCTATGTAGTGACTTTGTGGGAAAATTCAGCTCCAGACAGCGGATCCTAATATGAGTCCTGTGATGGCTTCCAAGAATTAAGTAGCTACTGGAATATCAACTTTAGGCCTTATTTAAGCTAATCTGAAAAGGCAAAAAAATTAATAAGGAAGGCCTCATATGTATGTAGAGATAACTTCTCTAATCTAGGGATTGAATACTATGGTTTAGCAGATTTCAAGTTTCATACAATGATGCTTTGCACTACTAATTCCCCAGAGTATGTCTGTGAAAGAAAATTAGTTAATGTGAAACATGTTCCAAAATGCTTGTCCAGAAGATCATCTCTGCCCAACCCTTATATATACGGGAATGGGTCCTCCCATACCAGGTTTCACTTGACAATGTGAAGAGAGAGATAAATATAATAAAAATATTATATATGTGGGGTCCCATTGAAATTTGTGAGACCCTATTTAAAGTCTCTGCGCCTCTCTTTACAAGACAAGATTGTCATTTCAAAACTTCACTAGAGGATACATTATGTATGTGTATGGTATGCCATGTTTAGTATTATGTGTGAGGTTAGACTTTTGAAAATGGCCTTTGATCCTTGTGATCATAATGGGTCATGAATATTCTTTCTTGAAGCTGCCAAATTTTTTTGTTATGTGTATTGCATTTGCGAATTTCTTATGTTAGTGCGTATGCACCAAATATATTTTGGCGGTTAGGACACACAATTGCTTCTCTGGGACCTGGAAATGGATGAGATTGTAGTACCCTTGCGACGTCCTTCTGGTGGATCCCCAACTTACAGTGCTGGAAGCCAGTCGTCCCACTGGGACAGTGTTGTCCCATTGGGCACCTTGCAACCTGCTCCTAGTATGCAGGATGTTCCAAAAATCTCTCCGCTGGTTACCCACCGTGTTCACACAGAACCACTCTCAGGCTTGATATTTACTCAGGAATCTGTACTTACTGCATGTCGGGAGGGGCACATAAAAATCTGGATGAGACCTGCAGCTGCTGAGAGCCAATCAAGCAACTCTGAAACCTTGTTAGCTACCAGCCTCAAGGAGAAGCCTTCAATTTCAAGTAAGATTGGCAATTCTAGCTACAAACAATGACTAAAATCATAAATCTTGCCAAAAATCTAAAGGAAATTTTAAGCAATTTTTTTAACATGGTTTATCTTTTCCTTCGGTTGGTCTCCTAGTTTTAACATGTCATTCTAGTAAATTTAAACCAACCGGTTCTATTGTATATTCTGGAATGAGCATGCCATTGATGGCACCGTGGGGTTGAGAGGGTGAATCCTTTCCTCCTCCTACTGTAAGTAAAAAACGGCTGTCATTAGGATATCTGATTACAGGAATAATGTGAAATTGGTTCTTGGTGATCCGTACTTTGGTGTGCATAAAATCCATTATTTATTCTGTTGGCTTTAATTTTGTATGTGTGGATGGATGTGCGGGTTTTTTCCTATCACATGGTTGCATGTACATATTACATAGTTGGGGAAAGAGCGATTTGGGTAGTGGGAAAATTCGTATAAGCTCTTGAAGGAAGAAAGTCTAGGGGAATTTTTAGTCATTGGATACTACCTGCTAAAAGATATATGTAAAATTAGCACCCAAATTCTAAGGTAGTGCTTCGTGCTTGGTGGATTGAACTAGAATTGGACCTTCCAGTTTTAATTATCTTATTTATTGTATTTATTATAATTGAAATTCTATTTTTGGAATATTCAACATAAATAAATTAAAATTTAAGTGCTACATAATATCTTCAATTATTATGTTAGACGTAAGAAATACAATTGTAAATACTACACGCATAAGTTAAATAAATATTTTAATTTTTTTAGCTCATCATCATTGTTGTTCATGAAGTATTTTTTTACCCGTTGTCCAAAGTGAATAACCATTTTTTCTACCATGTCATGACCTTGCAATATCAGCGCCACTTCTTTCTTAACGTCATGCTTTCATCACGACTACTTCAGACGCCTACTAACCGTTGCCACAGCTGCTAGTCATCTAATCAGTATCATTATCCTCCAATAGAAAATTCAATTTAATTTTGAACTTTAATTCTATATCTTAACTATTCATTAATCTTAAACCTAAAAGTTAATTCTTAATCATTTTTTTGGATACTTTATATTAAGTGGAATGAAATGATATAATATGAAACAGAATATTATATTACAATATAATAGGATGACATGACATGAAGTTTCCATACGATTGTTTAAATTACAAACATTTACCACACATCATGAAATTCAAGTATATTTGAGGATTTTTTTATTGTATGATTTCCCTTCTAATTTGGATGTAATTGGAATATATCGACATGCCGACGAATATACAATAGATGAAATGTGCAAATAAAATATTCATGATAAATATAGTTGAATAAAGATATTCATGATAAGTTGATAATATTCCTCATATACCACATTTTTAGTTGGGTGCATGTTGCACCCATTCTAAGGTTGACATTAGACAACAACTTTTAGTATATAGAGTTTATCCTCTTAGAATTGGCATGTCTGGTTAGGAATTTAATATTTAGTCCGAAGACAATTCACAAAGTATTGATATGTTTTTGGTCAAAACAAAATATAGATTTTTTAAATAAATTGAAATAAAATACATTCCATCATATTTTATTTTAAATTAGTAAAAAATAAAATATAATCATTCCATTATACTTTATCGCGTCCTTTTCAATCAAACTAACCTTAAGCTTTTAAAGAAACTATGATTTAAGCTTTAGTCTTTATACCATCGTTTGACTTTTTTTTTATTATTAATCATACTTTTAAATTAAAGTAATTTAAAAAAAAAATCAATTTACGATATAAGTATTTTGATGTTTTAAAAAAACTGACCCATCACAAAGAATGTGTTAAAAAACATATATGTAGTGACATCTTTGAAATTGATCAAAGCAATTCTTTTTCTTCATCTAGGGTGTTTGAATTCATGTAAATAAAAGTAATGTATAAACGTACAGCTAATAGCGTTAAAGTAAACATAAATCCAGAAATATTTAAATGTGAATTCAAACTCTAACTGATGGTATCATTCCAATTAACGGAAACACAGGCAAGAAAGCAACCGAGGCTTCAAGTCCAGAGTTACTTCTCTGCTACTAATGGCTCTTTACATTGTTCTTATCATTACTTGATTTGAATTTGATTATCTAAGTGTATGTATTTAATGGGTGGTGAGACAAGCCAAAATGTCAATTTAGCAATGATGGCTTCATTGAAAACAAACTTGCACGATACAAGGTGTGACACTTCAAAGGATAGCTTATAAAATTCCCCTACCAACAATTCTCGTACAAGCATAGTTTAAAATATTTTTTAGATTAATTTATACACATATCTCAATTACATTTAACTATTTAAAATCAATTTTACCAAATTTAATTTTACTCAATTTTAAACTAAACGGACAGTGCATCAAATTCACAAACCACGTTGTAACCAAAAAGAAAAAATTGAACGCAGAAAAAGAAGAGAGTAGAGTGTCTTTGCCACATTCTATAAAAAGACTAACATTTACTACATACACGGAATGACACATCAAAGGACAGCTTAAATAATTCCCCTACCAACAAAAGATTATGAATCACATGAACGGCCTTAAATTGAAATTTTATTCATCGCCTCAATCATTATTTAAATACTACCATTTTAAAAAAATTCTTCAAATTTCACTGTTTCATGCGACAGTGGCCCAACAATTCTCGTACAAGCATAGGTTTCTTTGTTTCTAACGAGGAACAGGGGATGCCATACATGATACATGTCCATTGCTGTATGTATCATGGCATGAGAGAGTGTAATCTGCTCAAACTTGTCTGTACAATATGTACTTTATGTACAGCCAGACGCTTTTGTGATGCCAGCATTTAAGGAATAAGCTTATATATCATTTTGGTCCCCAAAAAAACAACTTTTTTGAAAAATAAAATAAAATCTCTATTTACTTTTTTGTTTTTAATTTTTAAATTATAAAAATCATATACTTTTAGTACTTGATGTGATGACTAACAAAATATTCTTTTTTATTAAATATAGAAACTAAAAATTATTAAAACTAAAATACAGATAAAACAGAAAAAAAAGTCATATTTTCAGGGACCAAAAATGTATTTAAGCCAATATTCTATCAACTTTGCACAGGAGTGTCTTCCAAATTACTTTCAGTTTGTTGAGAATCAATCTGACCTTGATGAGGAGCTGCAGATGATTGAACAGGTGGTACTGCCTCCTGGGAACTATGCTGTTGATTTGATTGAGAAGCTGATGCTGATCTTCTCCTCCACTTCAAAATCTCCATAAGAATAGAAGCTCCACACATTACACTTCCAAATCCAGTAAATGTAGCAAGTAAGATAGCTAGAACAGCTTGCATATGAACCTGCCATGCCAAATAAATATATGAAAATACATGATATTAGAAATATTTTGATTATGAAATTCTGACCAATGCTCTATCACCACAATTGAAAAAACACAATGAAGCCCACAACAATGCTATTATTAAGTACATTTGACTAGTCACTATCAGCTTTTAGCTCACTGATCATGGCTATATGCCTTTTAACAAAATTTTGCTAACATTATTTCATTTTTATAACTTGATCTTTCTTAGAATGCAAATAGGCCTTGAGAATTTCCAGAGGCAAGAAAAGTTGACAGAGAAAGGAGTGAAAGGGGTAAGAGAATCATCTACTTACTTGGGCCTCGGAGCATGGTCATTGGTCAGTCATATTTACCAAAAATAAGCACAAAAATGTTTTATAACTATGATTACAAAAAGATTTTCTTACCAATGAGTAGAAAAGATGTCCAGCCAGAACCACCAGACCAAACTGAACAGTTGCATAAACCCAAACATGATTTCTCCTCACTAAGAAAAATTTGGAGAAATTAAGGTAAATTGAATCATACTAAAGGAAGAATTCTAGTATACAGAGTTGTCTAAAAGTAGAAAAAGCCTTACCCATTGTTGTAGCTGTCATGCTTGCAAGGAGACCCAATATACAAGAAAATGGGAGAGACATGGCAATAGCACCAGATCCCATACCAGAAACCTGTCCATTGACCATCGATAACATCAGGAATTCACATGGACTAAAGGGGATATTATTTTCTAAGAGTAGCTATACTTACAAGAAGCTGCTCAAGAAAACAAAAGTAAGCCAGCATGTTGATAACAACAAGAATGGGAGCATCCTGCCAAACTCTATAAAAAAATTTGCTTAAGTTCTGTTGCGCCATGTTTGAAAACAAAAAATAAAACATAATAAAGTCAGGGAAAGGGGTAAAAATAGTTTGACTTGCTATAAATCCCAAAGAACTATGAGACCACTAAAATTGACATGAAGTTATTTATAGGTGTCTCTTGCAAGTTATGGCAAACTAGATGCCTTATGTCAAATCGAATTGTTTAGTCCTCTATCAGTGTAACTAACAATCTCCTATTATTATTATTATTATAGTCTATCATTGAAGCTTGTCCATGAAACAAGGCCTGCTGTGCTAAGCCGTAAAAAATTACTAAGTAGTCTATAAATTTTCCAAGAAAAAAAATTCAAGCACAGAAATATAATTTGCCCTTACCTGTATTGAGAAGTCTCAGCTTCCTGACCTCCCTGACCAGTTTGAACTCTTAAAAGGGTGACAGGTAGGTTTTGAACTTCTTGCTTGCACACATCACATGTTCTATTACCTTTAATTCTAAACCATTTGACTGCACATTCTTTGTGTGCCAATGAAAGCTCACCTTTGCAGCTGCACTCCAATTTAAGAGTCTCAGCACCTTCTCCCAATTCAACCATACAAATTCTACACACAGCTTCTTCTTCGGGAATATCTTCACCACCATCCTCATTTTCAACTGTACCAGAATATTCAGATGCACAAGTCGGTTATTGAAACTTGAAAGAACTTAATCTAGAGGAGCCAATAATTGATGTCTTCAGAAATGGAAATTAGCAGTACTACCAAAGCCACTAGTTAACCCTGAAAAATAAGTTTGTGTAGATTGAACCAAAGAGAAGATAATGCAACTTAAATATGAGACAGGATTCAATATATTCGACCTTCAATCCTGTACACAGATGAAACATAATAGCTGAAACAGTTAAGATAGTTAAAGCAGGAGATTAATAGTGTGTTTGGATTGACGTCAAATCCATTCTAATGTTGATCCATTTCAATGCAATAAGTTATCTTTCACGTTAAAATATGATTTAATGTGATTTTATGGGCTTTCCAAACATGCATTAAGCTGAAAAAGGAAACGGATAATAAATAGAAATTAATAAATAAGAAAAGGATGATGACAAGTGAGCAGGAGAGTTATGAGCTTAGTAGAGATGAATTAGGCTTTGGTGGATTAACTTAAATTTTAGGCAAGGAAACATGTAACAGTTCCAAAATAGTTGTGTCAGTAATAAAAAACGATCACTAGTATTACACATATAGAAAGCAAATTGTTTATTGTATTTTAGTCAGTGACACAAGCTTACTACAATCTTTAAAGAGCAATGCTGGTAATAAACAATATACGCTTTTTAATACACTTAGTTATTAGATGAATTTTCATGAGGGTCTCGCTGAAAACATGGACCCATTATTCTCTTTTCACTGGGAGCCACATGAAATTCACCCAATAATAGAGTATATCGGAAAGAGTTTGTTAAAAAATGAGTTGTTTGTCAGCATTTGTCATTTTGAAATTACTTGGAACTGAGCATTAGCAGCCATTTTCAGTTCAGTTGATAGTCGTAATGATTATAACCATCAAAATTCATTCCATCTCCAAGTAGTATACTGTTTGGTCAAGATAAGCAAGCAAGAGGTTATTGAAGATTCTAAGGTTAGCAGATCATTTATAAAACAAACGTGAAAAAGAAATCTTACCAGTATCATGAGTTGGAGATGTCATACATGTTCTTGTGGCAATTTTCTCATCCAATCGTGGTGTGGTTGGAACTACACGAAACATGCTACCCGTCACAGGTGAGCTACCTTCTTTGTTAAGCACAGGGACTGAACGGGAACGATGAATTGGTAATTGCACTCCTTTCTCCTGTAATACGAAGGAAGTGTAAATCAGCTATAATCATATAAGTGAGTAACAAATTATACAAGAGCTACCAAAATGTCTAATGATGATTTGGAAAGGTAAAAAAGAGCATAAAAATATATAATAGTGGAATTTTTATATTATAGCATTAACATATCAAATTAAAGTATTGCAGACTTCAGAGTAACTTAAAGAAAGGGATAGAGCATTGACAGACCAGCAATTAAAAAGATGCATATGACTGTACGATTTAACGCATGTATCAGATTGATATAAGTGAAACCCATACCAATATTGGAAATATTGATGCCATACTACACAATCATGATTTCATCACTAGATGCCTAGTGGAAACAAACAAATTGGCTGAGTCAACTCCACCAAAAGCAAATTGAAACTATCATTCAAAATGTTGATTAAAAGGGAAGCAGGTGTTAATGCTCATTGTTCTGTGCATGAAATCTGTGAAGTGTACATATAGGTATTAATGGATATTAAAGCATCATTTTACGATGGTGCCAAGACATACTTGACAGATTCACACATAAGGGCCTGTTGCAATAAATTGAAATATGATAGGAAAATTTTTTAACTGATAATGTGAAGCAGAACCATTGCTGAAAGATTCATCTCCACAATGATGTCACACTTACATCTGATTGACAAATTTAAGTTCAGGTAGTTTATTGACTTTTACACAGACAGATATTTCGGAAAGGAAGTAAGATATATTCAACAACCAAGAAAAAAACTGACATTGTTGGAGAACAGCACATGCAAACAATCTCCATTGTCAATGTATGTAAATAGTTAAACATAATAATTATAAGGTTTATACAGCAATAGTTGCCAGGATACTCACAACAGCTGTTGCTGTATAAGCAATGTTCCCTCCATGTACAGATTCTGGATTCGAATGAGCAATTGGGGTGACAGGTAAGGATGATGTTTTCTTCCCTCTAGGTGTGATAAGAGATAATGTCCTTGAAAGAAGAGGCTTTTTTGGTGCCACTGTTACTGATCCTTCAAGTGCTAGGAATGCAGCCTTTTCAATCTCAGAATTTGTGTTGCGAAACTTAAAACTGAGTTTGGGAAGAAAGGTTTTAATAGTTGGTCTATTTTTGGATGTGGAGGGGCCAGGGGATTCCTTGCTTCTTGGGAAACTAGGACTCGGACAGGGGGAAAAAATCACTCTTCTTGGAGGTGGAGTTAGAGGCATGTTTATTCTCACAAAATCTTCTCTTGTTTCCTCCTGTGTTATTCCAAGTATTTCCAAGGTAAGATTTTTCCTTGTTCCATGTTGTCCACTTGGCAGTTCCTCTGTTATTTCCGATGATGCTAGACCCTAATAAACAAAGAAGAACAAGAAATACTTACTTCAAAGTAGACAAGGAAAAATGTATACTCATCAAACTTCAAAGTAATTCATCTTATAGTTAATACACAACAATATCAGAAACATGTAGTTTAATTGAAGGATACATTGTTGACAAATTTCGTTCTTTGCAGGGTTTGATGATACAAATGATGTTTGTGCTGGCATAGGGGTGATATGCAAAGTAGATTGGCATAAAGTTAATGTGAATTCTGATGATCTCAATAGTTGTGTAGCTTCACAAGAGGGCTATGTAAGGCAGAACCATAAAAGTTTCCAATCAATTGGTATTCGTTAAAATTTCAGAAGCTTTCACAAATCTAAATTTGGATACAAATCATTGTGACACAAGCACCATACTACTGAAAATCATTGGAAGATATTTGGGTGCGCACGGTTTTGCTGATGATGAGCAATTGAAGCTTTGTTTCTCGAGAAGTAGCTTACTTTGAATAGAATCACCATCGAATTCTTTTAGAACAAATGAGAGTCAATAAGAATATATAAATTTGAAGAGAAACCCCTCTTCGAAAGATAATTTGAGGATCATACAAATTTTAATGTCAATTATATTCCCCAAAATTGCAAGAAAAAACTAATTTTGAACTGGAAAATACAAATTACACAATTGAGAGCCTGAAACATCAGAGCAAGATAAAAAATTATAGACCAGGGAAACATTGCTCTAAGTATCTGGTCTACTGTGTTCAAATTCAAACCTGAGGGACATTTAAGCCTCTTAAATCGATTCAATTTCTACTTAGGAACAAATTCCTGTCCCTTCTATAAATTCAAGGGCCACACATAAGTATGCTGGCATATTGTTAAAAACTATAGATGGAAAAATGCAAAATCAATTAGTCATGCATGAACACCTGAAACAAGAAAGGTTATGATCAAAGATAGATAAACAAAAGGCAATAAAGTAAGGCCAGAAAAAAAAATACACCCACAAGCTTCAACTAGTCAAGAAAACAAATATACAATAGTGTTAATCCAAAGTAAGAAAAGAATAGAGACAACTAGGGGACCTTTTGAATTGGGATATGAGCACTATTTTCAGTAGTGTCATGATCTTGGTCATCCTCCTTGGAAAAGCCTGTGGTTTGAGTTGCCATGATCAGTGGACCCACCAAACCAAAGACAATTTTGAGCTGAACAATGGAAATTGAAATAAGTGTTTATTTTGGAGGAAAGAAAGATGAAACCTTACCCTGATCATGGGAGATAGAAATTGCCTGAAAAGAAGTGCAGAGAGAATATAGTAAGGAGTGGAGAGGAGAGGCACCATGGAGACAGGTTGTGGTGTAAGCTTGAAGCAGACATGTTGCATATTTTCTTAATTAAATACATAATACATGTCATTCACATTATTATGATATATGGTTGGACGGCTATAACATTTCTCATCATTATAATTATTATTTTCTTTATTTGTCATTCGAAGTCAAATAGGAAATAGAGAATACTCACTTGCTATATCTGATCTCAGCTTTAAATATTCATTAAGTTAGCAATCAATGTTAGTTTACCAAAAACTTTTATCTATTGATGAATTTCTCTCTTTTTTTTTTTTTGTTTATATTTTATTCAACTACCCTCCAATGACGCACTAACATCCAAACCTTGTTTTTAAAAGGGGGACGAATGACGACAGCATGATGTTTTTGTTTTGTATATTACTATAACACTTTTAAAATTTTCTTTTCTAACTATTAAGTGAATTACAGGAAATACATTCTATATTTTATTCAATAGTGTTTTTAATATCATCCATGTTTTGAATTTAGTGATGCTGATAAAAAATTTGTGAGCAATATTTTTTACCAAAAATTAAAATTGTTAATTTAAAAAGCTAATTTAGAGTTAAAAAGTGTGGTCTACATTTTAACAGGCACAAGAAGCCAAATAAACAGCAATAAGTAATATCCTTGACAGCTTTTAAATTTGATGGACGACATTCTGGTTTATAATAAATGTGTTTCAAGTGGAAAGCTGAAATCCAAAGTCAAAGTGTTGATTGTGTTCTTTTATTATCTGTGGTCGAAGACAGGCATTTGGCAGATATGCACTCAAGTGCAAGTAGACTTACCCCAATAACAACGTGATGCTGGATAGTGATTTTAAATTGACTTTTATCATATAAATATCAATGGTTCGAGCTTTATCTTTCTAATTCTTTCATTTTATTTATTTAAAAAATACTTATTTTATTAAAAGTAATAAAATATAATTATATATCATAAATTTATATTATACTCTGAAAATATCAATAATAGTAAAAGGTCAAATTGATACTTTATATATTAGAGTTATAACTAATAATCAATAAAAATTATGATAAATTAATATTTAAAGAAAAATATTAATTTATACCCTTAAGCAGTGGTTAAAGAATTAAAAATAAATTTATAAATTAAAACTCGTAAAAGTATACTTAATCTCATGATTTTTGTTACATTTCAACATAATTTTTAAGAAAAATTTTCTATTTATTAGTTTTTTAAAGGTGTCTTGATGATACTATTTAGCAAAATTTGTACAATATTGAATTTAATGAAAATTTATATACAGTAAATTTTTGTTAAAAAAATATAAAATTTAATATAATTTAATGCTCAATTTTTAATAAAAATGTTATTTATTAAATTTTCTGAATACAATTTGGAAAAATAGATATAAAATACTTAATTTGATTCTATCATTTAGAATTTTATGTTTTAAAAATAAATCTATTGTTTGACAACAATTGACATCGATATTCATTGTCGAATATAACAGAAAATGTTTTCCAAGATTAAACTATTTGGAGTTGTACTACATTGCTGCTGATTTTTTTATGCATATGAATGATTTTCTGTCATTACAAATTTATAGTCAATGAAAACATTTTTAATACATCTTTTTTTTATTTACAATTTTTTTTCTTGATTCCTCACTAATTACACTTTTTTAATTTACTTCAAAAGAATTTCTGAACATATATTTATGATATTTTTTTTTAAATTGCTGGAAACCGATAAATTGATGAATAAAAATGTATATTTTATATCAAAATGAGGTTTAACATTTTTTATTTAAATATATTTTAATCTCTCAAAAATTCACAAATTTTTTATTATGTACTTTTTTAAAATTTTAAAAAATTCATAATTTTTTCTATTCTACGATAGTCCATTTTGTTTATTTTTTCGATTTAGTATCTCTAATGATGAGCTTTATTTATTTAGCCTCTCAGAGAATTAAATAGAAAACTTATTGTGTTTGTGAGGACTGAATGAAACATTTGTGATATTTAAATAAACTAAATAGTAAATTAAAGATATTTGGTGATATTTAATTAAATCAAATAAGAAAAAAATTACAAGAAATTTATTAGATAAAGGAAAATATATTATGAAGGTCCTATTTTAAAATTTTAAAAAATAAAAGATCAAATACAAATAATTATTTTTTTAGAAACCATGAGTTTTTTTTTTCAAGATTATATTTTACGAGGTGTTTTATGTTTAAAGAACTGAAGAATAATCTTTTCCTAAATTGTTAATTGACACTAATTAATTTGACTCCATATTAATATATTTTCCCCCTACTTTTTTTAATTTTTTAAATCTTCGGTGTCTTGTATATTTTCCTTTTATTTAGGTATAAAAACAGGTGAAATTCCTCGATAGAAGTTTATCATTTAGTGTATATCAGATTAAAAACAAATAAATCTACATTTTTAAACAAATAATAATAATTTTGTAGTATAATTTTTTTCCCTAAAGAAGTGGTAACACGCCAACACACACCAAATTACACTATAAGTCTAAAAAAATTAATCTCACAAGAATCCAAATTCAATAATAAAAAAAAAAAGTAGAAATAAGAAGAGAACATAAAACTGATAATAAAAAAAAAATCTCTAAACTTAGTTTAACCAGAGAATCAACATAAGAATTCGTTTTTCTGCAAACATAAAATAGTTTCACAGAATCGAATACATTCCAAAGCATTTCTATTACTACATATTTGTAACATAATATTTTAAAATTATATATTTATTTTATTTAAATACTTCAGATTATTGACTTATATATAAGTTATAGGCCATTAAAATTATATATGCGCTTTTTTATTTGTTGAAAAAATCTTATTGTAATGTATAATTTGAATATGTTTTTATGCCATATGTCAAGTCTAAAAAAAATATTTTATTTCAAATTTTTATGGATAAATATTTTAATTACATAAACGTAGTATTAAAAAAACATATTATATTTGTAATGTAATTTCTTTTAATAAAACTTAGTACTTTTATTTTCTTAATTTTACTCTTAACAATTGAGATTAATATATATTTTTAAAATTTCCTATATAAAATAAAAAAATTGAATTATTGATTAATAAAATGGCCACATTAAAATAATAGAGATGTACTTTTTGTTAAATTTAATTAATATCTTATTATACTACTGATTATACTAATTTTTGTTTGATGAAACTTTTAAATATGTTAAATTCAAACTTTAAATTTAGAAATCAAATTAAATTTAAGTCTTCTAAAGCTTAATATACAAACTAAATTTTTTAAAGAGCAAAATAATCATTTATTCAAATATATTTAATAATTATAAATTGCGCAAATCACAGGTCATTACAGTAATATTTAAGTGAAATCGATGGCATGCTTTATGCATAAGTACAAATAATTTTGTTTTTTTCTTTATTTTAATAAAAGTTTACATTAACTTGTTTAGAAAATGGAATAAAAAATAAACATACTGGAGATTGCATATTCGCTGATCGATTAAACGTTGACCAATGAATGATTAACAATCATATATTGTTCCGCTAAATTTACAAAGCCAAAGGCAACGAGGAAAACCAAAAAATTAGCCCAGGTATAAATTAAAATTTGGTTTATATTTATTTTATTGTTTTAAAATAACTAATATTAATTTAATTTTTAAATATCAATATTATATTAATTTTTAATAATAATAAATGACATCTACCTATTCATTAGTTTAATTTTCAACAATAAGAAATAATATTAATTTAAACATTTAATTTTGCTGTCTGAATTAAAAGTAATATTGATATCACTTTTCATAGTTAAAAGAATGATTCCATACCATTTTTTTTTATTTTAAGAATTAAAAAACATATTAATTGCGCTTGTTTTAATTAAAATTTATTCAGAAAAACCTTTAAAAAAATTAATTTTTCTTAAAATATTAAAGAAATTCAAATAAATATGGAGACAATCCTATTCAAATGAGATAAGACCATTTTGGACAGATTTAAATTCTTTGACAAAGTATATTAGAAAATTTAACAATAATATATATATATATATATATATATATATATATATATATATTGATAATTTTTAAATCAATAATTATAACCTTATATTTTGCTATCTAAATGCAGCCTTATCCTTTTTAGAAGAACCAAACCAGAAACTAAACCTTTATTTGGCTTCAGTTTGCTCATATGGTTATTTTGAAGATCAAACTAGAGTAAATTTTAAATTAAAATTAGCTATTAATTGGGTTTCGCTTTTGATACTAGGGTTAAATTTCAAATTGGATCGGCCATTATAAGCTACCCACTGGGGATAAAATATTTTCAAGTTCAGTTAAGCCAGTTTAATTAACTTATTAGTTAATAATTTAATATCCTAACTCAGTCTATTGTTGTTTACAACCCAAATAACCTGGTTCGTCAGTTTAGTTTTCCTTTTTTTTTTAAAAAAAATACTTTACAATTACATTACTAATACAATAATTAACATGTATAATATATTTATATAAAATTATAACTATCGTACTCTTATATTAACACTTTGTATATCATATTTGATATTAATGTATTATAATTAACTTGATGGAGGAGATTACAAATCTGTTCTAGCCTTAAACTTCTTTATATATTTTAAATATGAAATTCTAACTCATATTTTAAAAAAATGAAAATCCAAATAAATAAGGTACAAATATTACAAAATAAAAAAAAATGGACGAATGATTGTGGGTAAGCCAATTTCGGATTAAATTGAATTAAGCTAAATTATGATTAGGTCTGAATTTTTATAACTCAACTCACACTATTTATCAAGTTATTTGGATCAATCCCTTAAAATCGTTTCGTTTTGATACTTCTAACCAGTGTAAATCCATTACTTGAGAGATTGTAGAAATGAAAGAATTTGAGACGGGATTTCTCTAAGACGTGGGGTTAATGGACTCTCCATCAACCTGTAAAGCATGAAAAGAAAAAGTCTTTTTATCAACTCTTTACCTCATTTGGCTTGATAAAAACAAAGATGTAATGACTAATGAAATGGAAAACCTGTACATAAATGCTCATAATATAACTCAAATAATGCAGCGTAATTTTGATCTCCTTCATACCCATTTAGTTTGGCATCATAGAGAACAAAAATGGATGAATAATTAAAATGTTCAAGGGAACCAAACCCTAGTCAAACAGGATTGAGTGGACTCATTAAAAATGTATCAGGACGATAGTTATGTGATTTACTTGGCAACAATGATGAATATAAAAAGTTTAAGTTATTGAGGCAACAAAAGTTGAAGTCAGACACCGAAGTAGTTTGTATAATTAATTACAATCATCTTACTTAACAAACACTGGGAGCAAATATTAAACTAATTAAGTGACATTAAATGTAGTATTACCAAACACTGGAGGCAATTTATACAAATAATACATATATTGAGCATGCCAGTTCGGTCTATGACTTTCAAACGGCGTGTAATGTATTTTACAAGCAACTCCATTGCTACTTCGAATGCGTTGAAGTGATTCATCTCATTAAAAGTAACATAAGTCAATTTCATGAATTCGAGGCTATATATATGATTTGTAGAAATTTAATAATTAGTGTATATCATATTTGGAGAGAAGGGTATTTCTGTGTTGATCTCTTGGCTAAGTAAGGCATGGTTTGACAACATAAGTTTGTTCTCTTGATATTTTTTCCTTTAGAAATTACCCTCTTCGCTTTTTGCAAACTCTATACAAGTAGCATTCTTTAGAAGTAGCAAGTTCACATTTCTCTCTTTTTCTATTTAGTAACAAGAAACACTACCCATACATAGTTAAGTAACTCGTAGAGTTTTTTTTTCTTCAAAATAATTAAATAACCTTTATTATTAATTTGTATGAAAATGGCATATCAAGAAAAGTTAAGAAATTTGCCATCAAACGCTCTAAGGTGAAGATACTGAATAATTTATATGGGAATAAACAAAAACTAAAATTGAAACAATAAAATAATATGTAAATGACCCAAAAAAGAAAAACTACACGTATTGGTTAATTAGAAGGGATGAGCACTGAAACTATGGGTAGTGTTGAGCATAACTCAAATTGGAATAGTATTCTTTATGATACATTTAATCAAAGCAGTTGTGGACATTATGGGTTTGCTAATGAGTTCAATCATGCAATTAAGCACCTTATTTATTAAATTAGTCCACTAGTCAATTTTTCATTATCAGCCGTTCGAGTTCGGAATAAAGGTGTTTCAAAAGCATCATGCATCAGGTGTATAATGGTCCTTTTTTCCTTTCTTTAATTAAATAAAGTTTCCGATTCTGCAGTGTACAGGGTGTACTTGTATTTCTTCCCGATAATATAGTTTGCCAAATTTCTTATTTCATTTACTGCGTACGGTGTTAATCATCCACTATGGTGCTGCATAGATGAATACGACTAATCTCATGTTATTTTAACTTAGATAAAGGCACGTCGTTAAAATCAGTTTAATAATTTTCAAAGTTCAAAATCAAAATTTCTTCATGCAACTATTTGCTAAAGATAAAGTTACATTATTATATATAAATAATCTATTTATAGGACCGATGTAACTTGTCACTACAACAGAATCGTTTGTGTTCTAAAACACAACAATATTCCCTTCAAATAGACTTTAGCCATACGAATAAATGTCGATACAATTGATAGATAACAAAATTATTATTATTATTATCATTATATGCAACTTTCGATTTGAAACATCGTTAATAATAATAATAATAAGACCCGCATCCACGTTGCGATGGAGTTCGAGCTTGATTCTTTCATTACAACAAGTTATCGGTAATTGCATAAAATGAGAATAATCCCATATTTTTTAAAACTAAGCCCCTTAAAGAATCTTTAAGCTACATCTTTTAAGAATCTTTTTCGAGTGTATTAATGCATCTTAAAGCCTAAGCTAAAGGATAAAAAAGAATGTTTATCATGTTTTATTATGATCTCAATCACTTCTAAAATTATGAAAATTTTTAAACAATTAAATAGTTACATACTTTATCTATCATGTTCCGTAACACAAAAAGGAAGTTCCATATGATGCCACGTAATCCTAGGAAACACATCACAAAAAATCGATTCATGATTCATGTTCTGTTCTACACTATATGTTCCCCGCCCTAGGTCCCCTCTTCACTACACTTACCCTTCCCTGCTTCTTTCGTATTCTTCTTTATCATTATCCACCCAACATGAAGAAGGTTCCAAGGAGGGTCTGGTCAATGAATGAGAATCACTCTTCGTCCAGGTTCTACATTCCCTCTTTTCTCTTCCAATCCTCTTTCATTTCTTCAGTTTGAAGACTTTGCTCTTCTGGGTGCTACCAATTTTGAAGAGCATTTTCCATGGATTCCAAGCATTCCAAGTTCCACGCGCTTAGCGGCTCCATAGCGAAGCACGTGTTCTTCCGCGTCTTGTTTCTTGTCTCTGCTGTTTCCATCGTTTCTCTGATCCGCGTTATACCCACCATTGATCTGGGATCTTTGACTCCCAACACCTACGTTGACTGTGTCGAAGATTCAGATTCTGACAACGTCACTGTCACGCCCGGTTCATACTTGTTTCAGAGCCGAATCCTCAACACCTTCTGGGGTTCCTTTGACAACATCACCTGCAAAAAGCACATTAATTTGACTTCCATTGTTGTCACCGAGTTAATGGGTCAACGCCTTTTGAATCGTGGCGCAAAAAGTCTATGCCTTGGAGAAGGGTCACCAATGGCTGTCTCCACAATGCAACGGTTGGGGTTCTCCAGTGTCAGTGGTGTTCACAAGGACCCCTTTGTCTCCTTCAACCAGAGGAAAATCGTCTGCCACCTTGAGTACAATGATGGTTCGTTTGATTTCGTGTTCTCCAAGGATGTGGACAAGGTTTCTGTCCCTGCATTGATGGTGCTTGAGGTTGAGCGCATTCTTAAGCCCGGTGGAATCGGTGCCTTGCTTGTGAGTTCCACTGATTTTTCTGCTACCCCTGTGTCTTCATTGTTGAGATTTTCAAGTGTAGTGCATGTTGGTTATGTCAACGAGCTTAGTCTTGTGGTTTTCAAGAAACGATTTGAAAATGAAAACACAAGTTCCCTTTTTTATCATCATGGTCTTCCGGCTGATTGTGCAAGTGTTACATTCACCAAGCCTCTGGTGGAGTTGATGGAGCCTCTTGTGGAGGAAAGGCCACTTCTTGAGTTTGAGAAAAGGATCTCCTATTTGCCCAAATTTGTGGATGTTTCTAGTAGGAAGAGGTTGGTGTATATTGATATTGGGGTAGGGGAGTTGATGGATGCAAATGTCACTGATTGGTTCCCACCATATTATCCCATAGATCAGAAAGCTTTTAGTGTGTATTTTGTTCATTACAACGCTTCAGTGTTGTTGTCCTATGTAAAAGGACCTCGTGTCACCTTTGTTTATCATCCGGGGTTGGCCCAAAAGGCTGAAGCCAATAAGGGTGTGGATAGGGACATTGATCCGTTTTTGGGGGAGAATGAGTTTGATTTCCTCGTGTGGTTCAAAGAAACTGTGCAATATGCTGATTTTGTGGTTCTAAAGATGAATGCAGGGCAAGTTGAAATGAAGTTCTTAAGGGATATATTTGAGAGTGGAGCTGTATGCTACGTGGATGAGATGTTTCTTAGTTGCTCAGATAGTGGGGATGGTATAAGTGAAAGTATGAACAGGAGAAAACATTGCATGGATATTTACATGGGTCTCAGAAACAATGGTGTCTATGTTCATCAATTGTGGGATACTAGGTTGCATCAAGAGCCTCAAGTTTCATATGTACAGTGATTGCGCGTGAGAGAAATTGTCTCTGCTTGTGTGTTTGATGTATTGGATAACAGAACTATGTAGTGTGTGGTGTTTATTGTCTATCAAGGAAGTAGTGTACTAATGCAAATGCCATGAACATCCCCATAATTTATAAATAAGCAACCATACTCATTCTCATCTACAAAATATAATCACTGTGTGCAGCTTGGTTTTTCTTTTCTTTTTCTTTATCTTTTAAAATGTTTTGGGGTTTAATGACAAGTAAAAGTTGCCTGGAATCCTGGATCATAACTATAGCTACAAATTTTAAAATGAAGGAACCAATTTCAATAATGGAACATGAATCGTTGCCATACTTATCCACCAAACGTTGTAAACTTTGTCGTGAGCATTACGAATGCACTTTTTAACATATTCATTTGTTATTATTAAAATTTATTAAAAATATAGAATAATAAAAAAATTATTAAATCATAAGTGAGATAAATACAATTTTTAAAACTTAAGAATAAATTTTCAATTAAAAATAATAACATTTAAAGTTATCAATACACAAAATTTTATCTTTTCAATACAAATTATATATATATATATATATATAGAGAGAGAGAGAGAGAGAGAGAGAGGTTAGTGGCGTCTAGCTGATTAGTACGTAGCAAATGTGGTGTGCATATGCTTGTTGTCGGGTCGTACATTATTCATTTGAGAACAGTGGATCCTCTGCGTACTTTGAAGATAAATTATTGGGGGCAAGTACAAAGAGCAGCGCATGGGAAGTAATTTAAAGGTGCTTAACCAATTGTTAGTAAAACATGTGAGGACTTATCCTCACAGGGCCTTTTGGGACCTTAAAAAATGAGCCCAGACGTACTTTGCAATACCTTTCGTAAAAATGTATGCTGAGTGACGTGTTTGTGAACATAAAAGCTATTCAATAAATCAATTTCCTAACCAAGATACTCTCTGAATAAACGATGTATATGCTCTAAACATGCGTCTCAATTCCATGCCATACACATGCCTTGGTATATATTTGGAACAACATTATAGTCTTGTTAACATGGATCTAATGCAAATATTGCAACCACTAGTGTTAGTAAACATAAATATATGACCATATAAACATGAATCCAAACTTGCACGTTAAGTTAGAGCGGGTTTTTAAAACACGCACCAAAATTAAAAAATGTCATACGAAGAGGGTAAGACACATTATATGAAGGGAAAGCCATTTAGAAATCCGAAATAAAGCCAAACAAGCATGGCGTAGGCATTAGCTTATACAACAATAATACAAATAAGGTGCAATGCCAGCCCGTTGTCCATGTCAAACAGAATGTCATACATATATTCCAATTTCCATTTTTTTTTTTTTTGGATTATTGGAAAGGCCATGAGAAAGTAAGTTAAGAGTATTAAGTATAACAGTTGGACTGTACAGGAAGCTTGTGTTACTACTAAAATTGTATCTTCACTCTTGAGGTTGAGGTTGAGTTTGAGGTTCAAGTTCAGGTCCAACTTTGATCTCCAAAAGCCTCTCAACTGGTTGTCTGCAAATTGGACATCTATTTGTCTGAAATCTCAAAACCTTTGCACATCCACTACACATGCACTACAACAAGGAAACAAATCCATCCAAAGTATATATCAATGGTTAAAGTTGAGCAAAGATAATAATCAGTTTGTTAAGACTGATTACTGAATAGTAGCACAATAATTTATGGGGTAAAAGTGCATATTTGGTATATATTATTTTTTAGAAAAACAATTGCTTATTTTTTAGATGCTCTCTCACGAGTCTGACAAAAATAAATGATTATTGCTCTAAAATAAGTTGAATAAAACACACAAAATAAAAAAAGTAAACACAAAAGGTTCTGATTGTTGATGAAATTTGGCAGCAGCATACATGGATATCATTTAACAGTTTCTGGTAAATTAATACTCACGGTATTGATAACTATCATCAGAGCATCATTCTGTCAACCAAACCAAGAGAAATTAATTTAAAGAAAAGGAAAATTGTAAATACCATGTGGCGACAAGGAAGGACAGTTGTGTCCCTAGGCTCTGACAAGCATATAACGCACTCTTTTCCAGGGTCATTCCCATCCAAGTCACTCTCCACTGAATTTCCAATACCATATATCTCCTGCAGTTCATACCTCATTCCATTTACCCATAAGATCTGCTTCATAACCTTCACCTGGAATTCTCCTTTCTCCTTCTCAAACACTGCTTGAGTTATCTGAGAGTTTGTATTACCGGGTGTTGGAGTTTCATTTGATCCATCATCATGGTCACCAGACGATGCATCTGCTTTGATAGCAACTGGATAGACATCCATGTCCCCCACATTCAATAACTCAGACTCCTCAAATATTGAAAAATCAATCCCAGTTCCGGCTGGCTGTTTAAACTTCTGGCCAAGACCTTGCTGGAAATTTACAGTCACGGGTGCAAGAACATCTTCCTTCATTGGGGTTAGGGTGCAACCTTCACCTTCTTTTGCAAAGAAAAGTATGGTGATGCTGTCATAGAGATAAAAGGAAACAAAACCCTTAGATCAAACAAATAAAAGAACTATTCAACAAAATATCCATATTCATAGTCACACACACACGACAATTAAACCTTTAGCACCACTAAGTGTTTAATGCATAATCTAAACAGGACATGTATTAAGTCAACACAAGGTAGTTGAAGGTGAAAGGCATGCTTATGGTGCTAAGGTGTTTTAATGCCTTGAGGCAAGACACATCATAAAGTGTACACCTTACTAAAGAAAGGCATTACTGTTAGAAAATTAAAATAACAAAATTGATTACTATTATGCTTTGGTTTTCCATTAGAATAAACTACTCAACCATAACATTTATAGTAAAAATAAAAGATAATGATGTTCAACTTACAAAGCATTAAGCTGTTTGCCAAAATGTCAAAAAGTCTGATAATTAGTTATTCATTTATCATGTTGACTTTAACATTTATTTTGACGTCAGTCAGAAAGGTGCTCCTAAAGTGCAGAGGCACTGATCACTTCTAATGCCTCGCCACAGTGCTTAGGTGCATTTTTGGGCTTTGACTACACGGAGTCAATCACATCTCATATATTGGTACTGATTACAAAATGCTCCTTGATCTAGGAAAGTAATAAATACTTAAAATACTGAGTAATTTATTGCCTTCAAATGTGCTAAAATTTTTTTTTCTTATACAACTTTGGAAAATTAAAATCCCTCAAGAAGCATGCATTTAACCAACCATTCAGATACTTGGTAGTGAAAAAGTCAGTATTGCATTTGCCTACATATATTTTTTATTTACCAATTTCAACTATTCTATTTCCAAATATGCCAGATAAGAATCCATTTGCATCTAAATATGATATGAAGAGCATATAAGGTTGGTTATCTTTTAGTTACAGTAGATAATATAAATTAATTCTACTTAAAAGACATGGACTTTCCTACACGAGTGGGTTAACCACGAAAGAGGGATAACTAGTGATTATGCAGAAAATTACTTTAGATGATATATGTTAGCAATCCTTGAACATGGAAAGTTATTCAAAATAAAATGTCATTTTGCTAGCAATTGAACCATAAACAGTCAACACAAAACATCAAACAGTCAAACTATTATAGTGTGACCACTTTCTCCTCTAATGAACAGTTCCTCTCTTAACCAGCTAATGTTACTGGAAACAAACCTACAGTTCAACAGTCACAAATAAAAGTGATTCCCAGAATGGTGATTTGACAGTAATAACAAATATTAGCACATGTATATCAGGAAACTAGATGATCATTAAGCAGTTGTGCAGGCACAGAAAACCACGGCTTACAAACTGACTAAAGCATTATTGGCAACTATTTTCTCAACTCGGTTAATTGTCCCACTCCCTATCATGGTAGTTAAAATTGCAATTTTACACGTATGATCGTATAATTTTCTTATGCCTCAGCGATCCCGATCACACTCACTGACTTGTTTTGCTAGGATCATAAGATCTTACTCCTTAGATCGTAGGATCAAACAATTTTTTTGATCCTACTTGAACTCATTTTTTTTGAAAATAAACAACAATTATGACCCATTTTTAATTGGTCCATTAGATTTAAGACTTTTAACTCATTCATTTTGGCACTTTTCTTCACCTTTTGTTTTTGCTCTTATGCATACAAAAGTTCTACACCCATTCTTGGTTTTTCTACTTCTGGGTTTGGAACCTATACACTTCAGTTCTTTTGCTTTTGGGTTGAACTCTTGGTTCATTTTCTTGCGGGTTCAACTACTCTCTGCTTTGGTTCATTTGCTACACTATTTGGGATCCTGGATTCAAGTTTCTGATCTCTGATAGGTTACACTCTTTTAATCTGTTTAGTTATTTACAAAAGTCTTTTAAGTGGGAAAGGAACTGCTAGGGAGGTACTGGGAGTTCAGGTGCTGCTAACATTGAAAGCAGCTAGGATGATGCTACAGGTGGGGGTTCTGAATTTGGAATTTTTGTGACTTATAAGCTTGTGGCTGTTAGTAATTTAAGGTTATTTTGTCTTATTTTTATTATTTTTTATGCATATATATGAATTCAAAATCATTTTGTATTTTTAGGTTCTTACGATCCATGTTATGATTACACAATTTATGTGTTTCCTTAACCTTTCCGATCTTAGGTAGGATCTCGATTTTGACTACCTTGCTCGCTATTAATGTGTACTAACCTACTTCTCTTTCAATTGCTAAAAGTCAACACCCCATGCAAAATAGAACAAGTGATTTCCTCACCACCCTAAAAAAGGAACATGATAAAAAAGGTACTGTAGAAAACCTCAATAAACATTCCCAAATAGATGAAAACTCGGTGAAATATTGTCTAGCACATGATCAGATTGAAATCCAGAATATATTGATCAGGGAGAAAAATTAAATAATTTATAAGCAATGCTGATTATCAAATGAAGATAATCTGTCATGCTAGCAATCTTTAGCAGCAATTGACTTTGCTTTCAATCGGGCTCCCCAGATTGTCAAAGGAAATTGAACCCTAGCAACACATAGATATGCTTATTTAGTACGTCACAAAATACACACAATACAAAAAGTATATTAACTCTTCCACAGAAAAAGCCATTAAGCTATCTCAATTCTAAGGTATCAACTTAATTCATAGACACCAGTTCATACCAATATAACCATTATGTCATGCACCCCTTTTACACTCTCCTAAGCTAGCTAGAAATAACATGAGCCAATAAATAAAAACTAACCACGCCATTCTACACAGACTGCAATAAAAAGTTCTCATCACAGTCCAAAATGGTAAGTTACCATCATCAATACAAAATAACATGAATAACAAGCATGGATAGAGCTGTAAGTAGATTTGCCCCATCCAAATAAGCAAATGGAGCAATTAAACCCTGCAAACACTCAACAAGCTTATCAACTCCAAAACCTTGCATCTGCCACATAATTACCATTCACACGATGCACTAATAACCACAAAACATAAATTATCTGATTACGTGCATGTTTGATCACCCTTAAATTTAGAAATATAATAATAAAAGCTATTTCGAGAAATTAACAAAAATAAACATTTCTTAAAAAATAAGCTGATGCAAACACGCCATACATCATCATCATTATTATAAGGAAAAACAGCGTTACCTCCCAGAAACGGTGGCATCGAAAGTAAATGACACAAGAAAACGCCCAGGATTTTCGTCATCAGGTTCAATCCTAAGACTCTCCTTCTTGATGTTGACATCGTTCTTTATAGTAACCGCCTTCTGATGCTCCACATACGGCGTAGGTGGCAGCAGCGGTTGCGGCGGAGCGTAACGCCCCCACATCGGGTCTACCGCCGGACGGTGATGGTGGTCGTACGGCGCCGGCAACGGAGCCGGTATGGTTGTCGGCGGCGGATAGTAACCGGGGTAGTTGTGATAAGGCGTGGCGGCGGGAGGGTACGCGAACCGGTTCGCCGTGATTTCCGGCTGCGGAGGCACCGGCGGCGGGTGAATCCGTCTCCCGCTGCCGCTGCCACCGTGTCTCCGGCGGCTGTTAGAACCACTGCTTCCTATGTTACCCATGAAAATGAAGAAAATTACGAAAATACCCCAGAAAAGCTGTTATTTTTTTTTTTCTAAATATAATTTAGAGAAAAATCAAAACTTGGAAGCTTAAGGAAGAAGAAAAGTGGGGTTGAGTAAAAGGAGTGTGGTTGTTTTATTTGCGGTGGTTCAAAGAGTGTTATGAGACAGTGACAGAGAAAAATGCATTAGAAATAAGAACAAAAATAGAATAAAAATAATGGTGAATAGAGAGAAATGGAGACACAGTTTCTTTAGATAGTTGTTGGATGGAAGATGGAGGGTATAATGGGATTGCGTAAAGCTCCACCCAGTGAGAGGAACACCATTGATGAGGGATGGGAAGTGAAGGTTTTGGCTAAAGTGACCCACTTTTTTCCCTCTTTTGTTTGGTTTGTGATTTTTCTAATATAATATAATGTTATAGTATGGTGTATGAGTTTTGAGAATTTTATTTTTAAGATATAGGAATGGACTATTTTACCTTAAACAGAAATCATGTTCTAGATTCCTGAATCCACACTGCCATTTTCGACACGCTACTCAACTTTTAGTTTGTCGTTTTAGGGCCTAACCCCATCATTACATGAGACGAGGGCTCTCTCAACTTTCGACTTGTTCTCTCTTTCTCGTCATTTGGGTTCTTGGGAAGGCTTAAGCTTTGTTCTGAAAATGAGATCAGATAGAAAGAAAAGAAAGAAAGAAATAAAGAGAAAAAGTTATGGTAAAAAATATATAATTTGAATTCATAGAAATAGAAGTAAACAAAATTTCATTTATCTAAATGAGTAAAACAAATAAACGTACTATAATTTTAATTATAATAACTGTTAAAATTTTCATTTAATCAAAAATTTAAAATTTGCAACAATTTTTAATTGAAAATTTATTTTTTATTTTTTAAAATATTTTTATGTTATTTAAAATAAAAATATAAGAAAAAACCTAGTAACTCTTTACTATCCAAGTTATAATTTGGTGTGCATAGACATGAATGTGCCAATAGTTAAATAAAAATCGAATGTGCCAGTAGTCATTCTCCATGAAAGAAATAAATATATTTTTGAGAAATTTGCGGATATTTTTTCACCAACTTTCAAAGCATTCAAGTCATAAAAAATATTTTCTCTATTAAATACATGTAAATAGAAAATAATTATATGTAATATTAATTTTTAGATATTTAAATAATAAAACTCTTCTTATATTTATACATCACTTATTCAAAATGAATGCTTAAGTTGTGTTGTCTTGCTAAACTAATCCAAAACTAAAATTTAGTTGGTATTCCAACTTCTTGTCAGTGGTTTCCCTTCTACATTGTTGATAGAAATTTGTAATTTAAAATAAAAAGGAAAAATATTTTCAGAAACTAAACAACCCTAAATATTTTACTATGAATACTCAAAGAGGGAATAATTATACATTGGTTGATATACATTTATCAGATATGCTGCTAGTTATATCAGCTTTGGCATCTTGTCTTAGCCTATGAGATTTTGTTACTCTTTTTTATGTAACATTTTGAAGACTTCAACAATGGCAAGAAAACAAGTTTGAACGGTGGAGAATCGTTTCCTATTTTACCGGCTACAATCAACAAACCTAATGCTGTGTTGATACTTTGTGTAATGAAGAAATAATAACACAAGTTAATGCATGTTTTAGGTGTTTCTTATACCCATTTTCTTATGAGAAAAAAGTGACAAAGCACCTAAATGTTTGATACTGTTGGATGCCAGACAAATAAACGGTTGAGAATATTTGAAGAATCAATTTTTAAATGACAAAATTTATTTTACTTAACCCATATGTTAAAATCACAAGAAAGATAAAACAAACTTAAAAAAAAAAATAATGATGTGGAAAATCAAACAAAATTAATATATTTAAATTTGAATTTTCCTCATTTTAAATAAAATTTATTTATAAGATATAATGAGATTATAACTATTCATTAAAATTTAGTATAATTTTAAATGAGTAAACTAGCTATTAAATTTTTCTACACCAACAAAAGAATTATTTAATTATTCTTTGAAGTTATATAAATCGAACATTTTAACTAATAACTATTGATCTTTTAAAAATATATTAATTTGAGTTGAAAATCATTTATTTTACATTTGAATTATATTCAAGAAAGTGCTTTTGCGCACTTAATGGTAAAGCTTGTGCATACCAAATTGGGATGTTTTTATTATTTTATTCTCTTTACTTTTGGTTTGATTATTATGATATTGTGGGGAGGAAAAAGAAAGTGGGAAGTGCCTAACACGTGTATTCCACTACAAACATAAATACATTATTTATAAATAATACCAAAATTAAGCACCAAATCATTGCGAGTGAATTATCATTTTAATCATATAATTTTCTCCCAAACATTGCCTTATATTCCATAACCATCGTTTCTTGTATCTAAAAGAGATTCCTCGTGGTTGCTTAGTATACACACTCTTCTTACCTTTCCTCCTTCATAAAATATCACAATTTTGCAAATAGATAAAAAATCTTTTAAAGTGGTCTTACTTATAAAACAAGAAAGGAAATACTTATTTACTTTTTAATTTTTATAAATTTTTAATATTATGTAATTTAAATTAAATTAACTGTATATAGCCCCTTATTCGGTTATTCCTTTATACACAATTACCCAAGCACACATGTTTTTCTTTTCATTGAATAAAATTATTATTATTTTACTGTATAGTTCATTTACCTTGTTTATATTTTTTAATAATATATTGTGAACAATATTTTTTAGGCTTTGATAACTGGATATACCAAAACATCTATTTATTAGTTCAATATAATTTTTAACACTTGAATTTTCTTATGTTTATTTATTTCATCAAAAATATTATTGCAATCAATAAAGTAATTCAACCTGTATAAAAGAACTATTAATTAAATACAAATTTATCTCATGTTTTACTATTTGACTTTTTTCTATTAAATTTATTATCTTCTACGTCAATATATATATATATATATATATATATATATATATATATATATATATAAAGAGTTTGAGCATCTTCTATTAATATTATTGTTATAAACAAAATTGAAATGTGTTATTGATTGGACGTACAAAATTTAAAATAAATAAATATTATATAAATAATTTTATTAAAAATTATAAGTATAATATTAAAAATAATTAATTTTCATTACATTCATATATATTATTATTATTTTATTTAAGATCAATATATAGTAAAATAATTTTTAAATTCATTAATAACTAATGAATTTTAATTGTTATTTTTATTTAAAACAAAAAAAATGTAGAAAAAACTAAAGTAAAATGGTTATAAATATAAAAATAATTATATAAATAAATGTAATGAACAAATTGGAAAAAGTTATCACTATTTACAAAAAAATACGTGATAATTACTCTTAAATTTATATTATTTACAATAATTAAAATTAATAAATTTTTATTTATTATAAATTAATGTTCTTTTAATTAGTATAAATATTTACAAATGTGAAATGTAAATGTAGAAATAAAATTCAAAAGGTTAAAAATTTAAATCTTATAAAAACAATTTATAAGATATATGAACTCATTCTCTCTCTTGGTCGATGAACAGTAATGCTATTTACTCACAATTAGGGATGGAAACAGGATATGCAGACCAGACTTTTTTCTTGAGAAGCCTGACTTGTAACATAATTATTAAGTCTGAGTCTGACCTATTATCTGTTAAAGGTTTGCTTTATTTTAGGTCTGGCATGCCTGTTTATTTGGCCTAACCTTGCTTGAAGTTTATTAACAAAGTCTGTTACAAAAAAAATTAATATTAATAAAAATATAAATATTTTATTATCAAATTAGTTTATATATTTTTCTAATTTCTATCTATGTTATTAATAATTATTAAATAATTATAATAATATTTATATAATTTTATAAATAAAATTTAAAATATTATTTAAGTATTAATTACAAATATTTTATATTAATAAAATTTTTATTTTTATTTTTATTGATTTATTTTTAAAAATTATATAAATAGTAAATATTTTAGTTTTATTTTAGAAATATATTTTATTTGTTTAAAGACATCTTATATTCAACAAATAAAGTTATAGTAAATACATAAAATTAATAAAATAAATAACATTCACATAATTTATATTATTTGCTACATAGTCTGATTATATATATATATATTATAATAAATTTTTTATTTTACTTTCTTATCATTTTTTATAAATTTTTTCTTTCAAATAAAATATAATTTAAATTTAAGTAATTTCTATTTATTATAAATATAAAAAATTATACTATAATATATTAATATAATAATTAAATATTAATAATAATAAAATTAAAAATATGAAAAATTTATTAAAAGAATATCAATATTTTATTTTTAAATTTTAATTCGTTTAGTTTTAATCGTGTCTTATTCTTCTTCAGCTTGTTTAAATATAACAATTATAATAATTTATGATTAAATAAATTTATTTTTTAAACACGTGTAATCGTGTATAAATATTTTTAGTTTCAAATATAATATAATTTTTATTTATTATAAATAAAAAATTATAACATAGTATATTAATATAATAATTAAATATTAATAATACTAAAATTAAGAAGATAAAAAATAAATTAATATAATATTATAATTTTTTTAAATATTAGTTTCTTTAATTTTGATTGCATTCTAATCTTATTGAGACTTTGCTGCTCTTTAGCTTGTTCAAACAAATATAATAATTTATCTTATATTTATATTCAAAATAACTATAGATAATAATAAAATAAGAATAAAAAATAAGTGTGATAACAACTTTGACTCAGAGGTATGTAGTTGTGCTAGGTTTGTGATTTGTTGTGATGTAGTGAATAATAAATTTTATACCAATAAAATTGCTTAAGAAAATATAAAAAAAAATAAAATTTGTATAATATTAAAAATTTATAGTGATTGTTGTTATTGGATAATATTAATAAAAATATAATTATTTTACATATATTCAAATTTTTATTTGTGTTATTGATAATTATTAAATAATTGTAATAAATTTTATACAATTTTATAAATAATATTTAAATTATTATTTAAGCATTAATTATAAATATTTTCATATTATAAAATTTTTATATTTTTATTTTTCTCAATTTAATTTTATAAAATTATTAATTATTTTAATTATTTTTTATGATAATTATATTTTGTTTGTATAAAGATATCTTATATTCAATAAATAAAATCACAGTAAACACATAAAATTGATAACAAAAAATAACACTTACAAAATTTATTAAATCAGCTAAAAAAATTATTATATTTTAAAAAATAAATAAATATCGTCATTATAAAAATTGTAGATAAAAAATATTTATATTATAAAATTCATAGATGCAGAAAAATAATATATGAGTATAGGAAGAATTATTAAAATTTATATTTAAATTAAAATAACTTATATTTCTAAATTTTTATCTTAATTAAAAATATGTGATAAAACTTAATATAAAAATTTAAACTTAATGTACTATATATATATATATATATATATATATATAAAATGACAACAATAATAACTATTAAATTAAAAAAATAATTACAAAATATTTAATTTTATTTGTTTCATTAATTTTTTATTTTACATTAACAAATAAACATAAAATTAGCTACACTATAATATTAATGTAATATAAAAAATATTACTGATACAATAAATTAAAACACATACTTATATATTACATATAAATTGATAAATTAACTAATAATTTAATTAAAATACGTGCAAGTTACAAAAGTATATATTATTATATAATTTATTTATAATTATATTATTTATATTATTTGCTACATGGTCTGATTATATATATATATATATATATATATATATATATATTATAATAAATTTTTTATTTTCTTTTTTATCATTTTTTTAATAAATTTTTACTTTCAAATAAAATATAATTCAGATTTAAGTAATTTCTATTTTTTATAAATAAAAAGAATTATAACATAATATATTAATATAATAATTAAATTAATAATAATAATAAAATTAAGAGTATAAAAAATATGTTAATATAATTTTATTATTTTATTTTTAAATTTTATTTTGTTTAGTTTTGATTACGTTTTATTTCTGTTCAAAAACTTAACTATTCTTTAAATTGTTTAAAGAATATAAAATTACTATTATAAACAAAAGTTATGTGAATTTTATTAAATATTATAGATTATATCAACTCACACTCTTTTTAATATCTCAATTTTTTTAGCATAATAAAAAATTTGACATATAACTTACAAAATTAATATGTGATAAGATTTTAGTTGGTCATATTACTAATAGTTTATTAGAGGCTTCCTATATAAAGTTCTCTCCCTGTAAACATAAAATTATTCCAATATAAATTCCTTTATGGTATCAGAGCACTCCTTGGGAGGGCTCTGTCACGATAACCTTCTTCCGCTAGCATTCATCTCTGTTTCTTATCATGCTACACCTGAAAAATCAATCAAAGAAAATGTTTCATCCAAAGATGAAGATCAATCACAAAACCCTACGAGTCTGTATTATCTCCATCCAGGAGAAAACCCAGCCTCCATTATCTCTGACCCTCAGCTCAATGGAGTCAATTATCATTCGTGGAGCAAGAACTTCAAGAGAGTGTTATTATCGAAGAATAAATACAAATTTGTCGATAGATCTATCAAGGAACCCGACAAGAAAGATCCACTTTGAGACGCTTGGGAAAGATGCAACAATACTGCCGTATCTTGGATTATCAAGACTCTCCCACCAAAAATTGCACAAAGCGTTATATACATAGATAATGCCCAAGAACTGTGGGAGGACCTCAAAGATCGCTTTTCGAAGGGAGACCATTTCAGAGTTTCTGATCTTCTGCAGGATCTTCATTCTATCAAACAAGGGGATCGAGGAATTTCTACATACTACACTGATCTGAAAACTTTATGGGAGGAATTGGAGGTTTTGAGACATCTTCCATCTTGCACCTGTTTTATAAAATGTTCATGTAATCTCATGAAGACAATGAAGAAGTATAGGGATTATGAATATGTGATATGTTTCTTGAAGGGACTAAACGATCAATACAGTCATGTAAGAAGCCAAATCCTCATGATGGAAGAGCTTCCATCAATAAAGAAAGCTTTTCCATTACTGATACAGCAAGAAAGACAACACGTAGGAGCAATGGAGTCAAGAGTTCTTGCCACTCCCATAGATCAGAATTTTGGCTGGAGAGGTTCTTCAACAGGCAGAGGAGGAAACCAAGGTAGTCAAGGGAGAGGTAGATCAGTGAATGGAGGAAATATCAAGGTGTGCAGTTTTTGTGGGAAGGAAAGGCACACAATGGAAACGTGTTACTTCAAGCATGGTTTTCCACCAAACTTCAAGTTCAAAAACAGATCTACCAACCCTTCTGTTAATTCCTTAACCTCTGAGCAAAACAACAATAGTCAAGAATCTATTGGCCAAAGCAATGAGCAATATGATATTCTCAAAAATCTCACACCAGAACACTATGCACAGATCATTGAAATGGTCAAGAAGACTGACATTCAAGGCCAAACGCACACCATTAACCAGGTTTCTCATAATACTCAAAATAGGGATCACACCCATCAACAAAAGCTAGGTAATCTTCTTGACCCCAGTGTTTGGATCTTAGACACTGGGGCCACCGATCATGTGTCAAATTCTTTGAATAATTATGTTACCTATCATTCCATAGAACCTATTCAAGTCAGTCTTCCTAATGGTGTTGTTACACATGCTTATTTCTCTGAAACTGTTTCTTTCACTAATGATTTTTATCTGAACAATGTTCTTTGCATTCCAGAATTTCAATTCAACCTCATCTCTGTTAAGAAAATCACTGATACATTAAATTGCGTTTTAATTTTTGCCAAATTCTCTTGTGTCATACAGGATATGACTTCTTCGAGGATGATTAGTCTAGCTAAAGTAAACAAGAATTTATACATACTGCAAGAACCAAATAAGCCTGTTGTACCTACTATTTCTGCTGTTAATTCTTTTGATAATAATGTACTCAATAAACATACTAGTTTTGATTTGTGGCACTTTAGGTTAGGCCATCCTTCTACTAAGGTTTTACATCATGTATGTCAACAATTTCCTTATGTACATTCTAACTCTACCATGATATGTGACTATTGCCATTTAGCAAAACAATCTAAATTGCCTTTTCCTGTTAGTAACACTAAAACTGTTGCTTGCTTTGATCTCATACACATGGACATTTGGGGTCCCATATCTGTTACATCAATGCATAGTCATAGATACTTCCTCACTGTCATTGATGACTACTCTAGACATGTCTGGATTTTCCTCATGAAATCCAAACTTGAAACTATAAATTTAATTGATGAATTCATTAATTTTGTTTACACTCAATTTGGTAAGAAAATTAAATGTATAAGGAGTGATAATGGGGCTGAATTTGTCATGCACCCTGCCTTTTCTAAATATGGAATAATTCATCAAACATCTTGCGTTGAAACTCCACAACAGAATTCTGTTGTGGAGAGGAAACATAGACATATACTTAACATTACAAGAGCTTTGTTATTTCATTCTCATATGCCTAAAATTTTCTGGAGTTTTGCTGTTATGCATGCTGTCCACTTGATCCACAGACTTCCTTCTCCTGTTCTACATGGTAAATGCCCTTTCCAAATCTTACACAATGAATTGCCCACTTTATTAAATTTAAAGGTTTTTGGCAGTTTATGTTATGTTTCCACCTTAACTCAAAATAGGAATAAGCTTGATCCTAGGGCCAAAAAGTGTATTTTTCTTGGATTTAAAAATGGGACCAAGGGTTACATTGTCATGGATATCAATACTAGGCAAATTTTTGTTAGTAGAAATGTGATTTTTTATGAGAACATTTTTCCTTTTAAACCACACACTTCTGACACTACTGTTAAATTCACCGAGTCTTCCTCCTTTAATTTCCAAATAGATGATCCTAATATTCCTTCCACACATGTTTCTTTTTCTGATTCTATTACTGCTCAGAATCTGCTACCGGTCAATGCTGATGAACAACAAGTCAGGAGATCCACTAGAGTTTGGAATCCACCTGCTTACCTATCGGATTATCATTGCAGTCTTCACACTACTAGTTTTGCTAACAACAATTCAGTCAAATATCCCCTGCAATCTGTCCTTTCTTATGGTTCCCTCAATCAGAAACATCTCAATTATATTCTCTCTATTTCCACTTATTCTGAACCAACTTCATATCAACAAGCTGTCAAGGATGAAAAGTGGATCGAGGCTATGCAAAATGAGCTCCAAGCTTTGGCTGAGAATAAGACTTGGTCCATTGTTTCCCTTCCTCCTGGCAAATCTCCTATTGGTTCAAAATGGGTATATAAAGTAAAGTATAGGTCTGATGGTTCCATTGAGAGGCATAAGGCCAGATTAGTGGCAAAAGGCTACACGCAAATAGAAGGCTTAGACTACTTTGATACTTTTGCACCTGTGGCTAACTTAGGAACAGTTAGACTTCTTTTGGCTATAGCGTCTTCCCAAAACTGGCATTTACACCAATTAGACATAAATAATGCCTTCTTACATGGTGATTTAGATGAAGATATATACATGGAAATACCACAAGGTCTCACTTCTTCTACTCCTAATTCTGTTTGCAAACTTCACAAATCTCTCTATGGCTTGAAACAAGCCAGTAGGCAATGGTTTGCCAAGCTGTCTTCTTACTTACACAACCTTGGTTATCATCAATCTTTTCATGATCACTCTCTTTTACTAAATCCACCAATGATCATTTTACTGCTATTTTAGTATATGTTGATGACTTAATTTTAGCTGGAAATGACACTTCTGAAATTCAATTGGTTAAACACAAATTAGACACTCAATTCAAAATTAAAGACTTAGGTTCTCTAAAATATTTCCTTGGGTTAGAGGTTGCAAGATCTCATCTTGGCATCACTCTGTCTCAGAGGAAATATGTTTTAGATCTCCTTGCTGACACTGGTTATCTTGCAGCCAAGCCTGCTCCTACTCCTATGGTCAAGCCACATAAGGTCAAAACAGCTGATGAAGAACCTTATCAAGATGCTGCAGGGTATAGGAGACTCATTGGAAAGCTTCTCTACTTAACTACAACCAGACCTGACATTTCTTTTGCTGTCTAGCAGCTTAGTCAGTTCATGTCTTCCCCTACAAACTTTTATCATAAGTCAGCAGTAAGAGTTCTAAGATATCTCAAAGGAGCACCAGGACAAGGCCTATTCTATCCCACTTCTTCTACATTACAGCTTAAAGCATTTAGTGATTCAGATTGGGGAACTTGTTCAGAGACTCGAAGATCCATCATCGGCTACTGCATCTTCTTAGGAGACTCTCTAATTTCCTGGAAATCCAAGAAGCAATCCACTACATCCAGATCATCGTCTGAAGCTGAGTACAGGGCTCTTGCTTCCACTATGTGTAAACTGCAATGACTGACATATATTCTGCAGGATATGAAAATTCCCTTCCTTAGTCCAGCATTATTGTATTGTGATAGTCAACCTGCTCGACATATTGCATCCAATGTTGTTTTTCATGAACGCACGAAACACATTGACATTGATTGTCATGTTGTTAGGGAGAAGCTTCAAGCCAAATTATTTCATCTTTTGCCTATCACTAGTTCTGAACAAACAGCTGACATCATGACTAAAGCTCTTGAGCCTTCCTCCTTCTCTTATTTGGTTTCCAAGCTGAGAGTCATTAATATTTACTCCTCAGCTTGCGGGGGAGTATTAGATAATAGGAATAAAATAGAAAATGGCTAATTTAATATGTTAGCTTGTTATCTTTCTGTTATTACTAATTAGTTGTATTGTTAGCTTTCTTTCTATTACTGTTACTAATAGTTTATTAGAGGTTTCCTATATAAAGTTCTCTCCCTGTAAACATAAAATTATTCCAATATAAATTCCTTTACATATCATTATTAAAAATTAAAAGTGTTAAATTTAAACAAAATTAAATATTAAAATTAAAATAGTTTTACAAAAATATAAACTAAAAAAATATTTAAGTTTGTGTTAAACAAATATTAATAAATAAGTAGGGTAAAATACTAGAAAGGATAAGAAATTCCACAAAAGAAACCACCAAGCTAAAGGAAAACGAAAACTTACCCCCCCATATATAGGAAATCAGATTAAAAAAAACATCTCAAAGATGAAAAAGAAAATAATCACCATAATCACCATCACTTGTCTTAAACAGAGGAAACATTTCAAAATACACCCACAATAATAAGAACCCAAAACAACACTTCCTTTTGCCTTCAACAATGAATACAACTACAGGAGCATAAAAGAATAGAACTAAGCCGTTTAATCCCTTTACTAGTCACAAAGTTATACTCCTATTCTCTTGGAAATAAAATGAAATTACAAATGAGCTGTAGCACAAACTTGTGAGGATCGAGATTGTATAAAATGACTGAAAATTGGAATTCTTTAGGAAGAAAACACGGTTTTAGCAGCGCTTTAGATCAAGAGTAAGAAGGTTAAAATGGATTTAACGAGCTCATGATGATATCATTGTAAGCTATAGGGAAAATAGTAGAAGAAATCAGTGATCAATCGATCATTCCCAATTAATTAGTCACTTTTTTTTTTATTAAAGCTAGCATAAAAAACAATTACTCATTATCATTATTAACATCCTATTCACCAAAACAAGAAAGAAGAGCAAACATTTACGAAAAACATTTTTAACTATGCAATTAAAGACGACTTACATAATCTTTTCTCACTTCAACTTCATGTATGTATGTGTAGGTCCCATTTTTTTACATGCAACAGTTGCTTGTATGAGCAACTCTCATTATACAAATTGCTTATTTTTAAGCAACTCCCATAAAAAATATACTAAAAGAGCTGTCTGACAAAAGATTAGAGACAATAAATATGTTCACCTTAATCCTTTAGCTTTGAAATAGAAAGTGTATTTTTTCAGTTCACTTAGGTCACTATTGCTAAGTTATGGCAATTAGGAATTTGTTCTCCACAAAATTTTACCTTAGATTCAAATAGAAAGTATTGTTTAAGAAGTCTAAGAATTTTACTTAAGGTCCTATCTTTTAGCTTCGAAAGGATAAACAACATGCCATTTTAACTTCTGCAGATAAAATTTATTATACATCGTATATATGTTGCCAGCATCATGATAACATGAAAACTTTGGAAAAATTTAATTTTGTCTAGCAACTTAATTAAGTTATTTAACCTATTAATACATGTTCATTTGCCATAAAATTCCGCTTATTTTCTTTCATATATTGTAAGTTTGCATTATAAAAATTTCAACGTGAGAACCACTTGTTAGGACCACCAATCAAAAGATAATGGAAAAGTTAAATAGCACTTTTTGTTCTTTTAATTTAAACTACTAACTAGATGTAATTGTGGTCTCCTATTTTTTTTTTTTCAAAAGTTAGTTTTTCTATTTTTAATATTATAAAAATTTAATTTTTTAAATATTTTTTCTATTAAAACCCTTAATTATTTATTTTATATTGAGTTTTTTTAGAATTTATAGCAGAATTAGAAAATCAAAGGAATTTAAAAGTTCAAAAGTAGTGAATAATTGATCAAATTTGAAGAATTTTATCATAAGTGATATTAGAATTTAAAGAGTAAAAAATGATTTTTTATTTTAGATAGAATTTGATCTCTAGGTTGGTTAAATTTGAATAGAAGACAATTTAATCAATTCAATTTATAAAGATTTAGATTAAAAAATAAAAATTTATAAAATTTATATATAAGAGAGTAGACGTGAAATTAAATTTGTACAGTTTTAAAAATAAAAACTTAATTAATTAAAAAAACAAGGAAATTATAATCGCATATAATATAAATTAGAATGGTACATAATTAAGCCAAAGAATTACAACAATCTCCAAAAATATTACTAGTAGATTTGCTGTACAGAAAAAAAAATCTCTAACCAAATTTTATTATAACAAGATGTTCATGACACAAAACACACACACCGAAAGGAAACAAAAAGAACATAGACATATATTCTCAATCATAAGAATCATTTTAAGAAAACTATGCAGTACCCCCGAAAGGTAATCCCTGAAACAAGTAAGGTGATCCCAAGCAGTTGAGCATCCCTACCCTTTTAGTCTTGCGAACCACCAAACTAAGGTTAAGGATTCCAAACCAAACACACTATCGAGAGCAACAACAGTTGTATAACATAACATTCAAACATCTACCATGAACAATCGTCATTAGCAAGCGAATATTTTTGTATCACATTACACATAATGTAGTAAACAAAATTCATACAAGTATCCATAAGCCCAGAAGCCCCTAACTTAAGAAAAGAAGTATCATACAATTATGAAGTTCCAATTACCAATCACTGTCGCTTAAAGTTCATAAAAAATAGATGCATGAGTCCCCCAGGAAAGTCTCACTTTAAGGCTTTGAACTCCAAATATGAATCTAGTTAAAGTATCAGGCAAGAAAAAAAATGTTTTTTTTTTTTGTAACTATGATTTGATTAACGAATATGACCTTTTCAAATGCAATTGTAAATTCATTTATGTATTTAGGCGAGATATCCATAAATGAAACTGAAAGAAAAATTAATGTTATCTTATTTTTCATAATAACAAATATTTTAAAACAAATCAAAACACCCAAAGAGATACTCACTAATCAATGCTTTTAGGATTCTCCTTAGCAAGATATTTTTAAATTGAGATTTCTTTTATTATGTATCAATATATATGTAATGTCAAAGTATTGTATATACATTATTTAATGTTTCAAATTACTTGAAAAAATAAACATTAAATAAATGTTATATTTTGAATAAAATAAATATTTTTAACAATAAAAAAAAATTGATTTCTTATGGTCTATCTGTAAACACGCAGTAAAGAACTCTTTCTAAATTTTAGGTAAATTTAGAATATCTTTTAAAAATTGATTTTTCTGACAAAATATGATAAAAAAAATATATATAAAAAAATTATCCATGATACTAAATGCGTCACATAATACCGTTACTATGCATGAAAATAAAAGGAAAGGCGCAAACACATTTCCTCGTTCCATTCCATTTTTCATGTTATAATTATAACAATGAATGATTTGGCTGACACTTTTTAACCTCAGAAACTTTCGTGAGAACGAGTCGTCACTTGAGACCAATAAATAAAATAAAATATTCTCAAAACGGAAAATGAGTGAAGAAAGTGTCAAAGGCATAATAATAATAATAATGAATGCTTACCTAGCTTTACCGTTTGTTCTTCTCTGTTTCCTCAAACATGGTCTTTCTCATTTTCTTCACACGCTCACCCTTTCCAAAACCTTCTTATAATAGACCCAAATCTGAAGATCCAAGGCACTGTTATGCTTGAGATATGAAGATCTCTTGTTCTTTTCTTGCTTGTTTTTCGGCTTCCACCAATGGACAAAACAACAACGGTATACACTACACACATTACCACACTTGTTGCCTTGTCATGTACCCTTTACCCCTTCATTGATTAGTACTATTTATTCATCATGTTTGATCTCTTCACTTCCACTGCAGACTACCCAGATGGAGATAATGATGGAAGCTTTCGTGTATTCACTTATAACCAATTGAAATTAGCCACTAATAATTTTCAGTCCTCATACAAGGTTGGAGAAGGTGGCTTTGGTTCTGTCTATAAGGTTATCCTACATTCTCATCCATTTGTTGAGTTTTAGTCATTGAAATGATGCATTGCAATTAATGGTTGTGGAAGACTGACTGTGGTCGTTGACTTTACTTTTAAAGGGGAGGCTTAAGGATGGTTCTTTTGTAGCTGTGAAGGTGCTGTCGGTTGAGGTTGAATCCATGCGAGGAGAGAGAGAATTTGTGGCGGAATTGGCTACACTTGCTAATATAAAGCACCAAAATCTAGTAAGTCTCAAAGGGTGTTGTGTGGAAGGTGTTCATAGATATTTAGTCTATGATTACATGGAGAACAATAGCCTCCACAATACTTTCTTAGGTAAGATAAGTTCTCTGTGTTTCTGAGTTTGCACACAAGCGTTTCAAATTGAAGAGAGAAATTAATGATTGTTGTTTTTTTTATTAATAGCTTCGGAGGAGAGAAGGATGGGATTCAGCTGGGAAACAAGGAAGGAAGTATCCATAGGTGTGGCTCGGGGGCTTGTCTTTCTCCATGAAGAGCTTAAGCCTCATATTGTACACAGAGACATCAAAGCCAAAAATATACTTATTGATCGGAATTTCATACCAAAAGTTTCAGACTTTGGTTTGGCAAAATTGCTAAGAGATGAAGCATCTTACATCAGCACTCGAGTTGCAGGGACATTGTGAGTGTGAACATAGCAAAAAATTGACTTCGACTAAAAAATTATATTCCTTTTTGTTCCGTGATTAAAGGGGTTTATTTCATTTTGAAAAAAAATCAACAGGGGTTACTTGGCTCCAGAGTATGCTAATTCCGGTCAAGTTTCGCGAAAATCAGATGTTTATAGCTTTGGAGTATTACTTTTACAAATTGTCAGTGGCCTAGCAGTTGTAGATGCCTATCAAGATATTGAACGTTTTATTGTAGAGAAGGTATGAAACTGAAGTAAAAACTCATGTTAAACCAAATTGAACATTTAATAATTTATACTTTACAAAGTAATACGAAAATTATTAGGAGGATGTAATAAAGCTCTTAATTAGTTAGCTGTTATGTTATGACTTATTATGATTTGGTCAAAGTGAATAATGTGCATGTTTGAACATGGTTTCAGGCGTGGGCTGCGTATGAAGCTAACAATTTATTAAAGTTGGTGGATCCCATGCTTAATATGAACTTCCCATTGGAAGAAGCCTTAAAATTCCTAAAGGTGGGGCTTCTTTGCGTGCAAGAAACCGCCAAGCTTAGGCCACGAATGTTAGAGGTTGTAGACAAGTTGACCAACAACAATGTTGATATGAAAGATGTTCACATTTCAAAACCAGGTTTTGTTGCTGACCTCAGGAACATCAGAATCAAACAACAAAACTCGTCCCAGGTATCAAGTTCTGCTGGAGCAACCTTTGCAAGCTCAATTTGGAGTACGGTCAATCTTGCCCGTTAATTGGATTGTGCACCTTGTATAGCACTGTAAGGGTTGATCAAGTGTTTATAGCCAATTTTTTGTTCTTTGTAGCGTTTTCTTCATTTTTTTTGTTTCTTTTTAATATTTTATAGGGAGAGTCACATTTTTTTAGGTCCAGAGAGATCTCATGGGGTGGGGGGGGAAGAACAAGTAGTGTAAGGCACCTGTAATCTTCAAGCTCTAAATGACACTGCGGATTGCAGATCCTGTCCTCAACTCAAAAATTTTCTCATCATTTATTATGAAGAAAGAGGGGAAAAAATGATAAAAGAAAATGCCAACAAATGACATTCAACTCCCTCTCAAAGAATATGAGATTTTCTTGGATAAAATTAATTGAAAATTTATAATTTACAGTTAAAAACTTATAATTTATAACTAGCAATTTATATTAGTTATTTTAAAAAATTAGTTGTGTAATTAACTAAAATATGTTAAATGACTAAGAAAAGTGTTAAGATTATTTTGTGTGAATGTAAATTGTATTAAGGATAAAACATTTAAAAAACTATTAAAAACTTATTTTGATAAATTAAATGTTACTTGAAATAAATTTTCATAACTTAGCTTTCAAAAGTTATAAATTTTATAAGTTATTTTATTTCTTATTTACTAAATAGCATTACTAGTTTATTGACTGAAAAAAAGCTGTAAACTAACTATAAATTTGGTTTAACAAATATATTTCAATACTTTAGTATTTAATTTTATAAGCCTTTTTTATTTTTTAATTTAATTAAAATTTATTTTACTTTTTTAAATTGTTAAAGAATGTCAATATATATAAGATTAAGGTCACATAAAGTAAAAAAAAAAAATTGATAATTTTTTAAATCTATAAGAGAATGTGAATTTAAACATAAATTTCAATAATTACTATTTTAAGTATTACATATTCTTTGAAGATAAATGTGTCACTAGATGTCAAATTAAAATTTAACATTCTGAATAAAAACTTTCGTTAATTATTACAGATATTAGCTGATTATACATATTAATATAAAATATATTTCTAAAGTAGAGTTTTATATAAATTAAGAATTAAAATAAGCGAAGGATACAAAATTAGAAATTAAAACAATAATTTACTCCTTTAAAAAATCTTCTTCTTTCTTATACTTCAGCGTCGATTCCTCAAAAATAAAGAATAGCATTCACATATTCAATTTTACGATATTGGTCATTGTGGCTTAATGGAAGATCATCAATGTCAATATTAGACACTAATAAAATATTTAAGATTTTAAGTCGTTGGCAATCACCTAAAAGCTCACTGGCAGCCATTATCTAGTTTATTTATATACGTTTGACAACACAACTAGATGTTTTTCTATAAATAAATTAAGCTTAAGCTATGTTTAAATAATATAACTGATAGATTGGTTAAAATTGAAAAAATAATTTAAATTAAATTTTTTTAATAAAACTAATTTTGTAACTATATTTAGTAAATATAAATCGATATAAAAATGGAAATATTTATATGATTATATGTCTGTATATATATCTAATATTACTTTCTCTTTTATATTATTATAGTGTTAGTTAATTTTGGAACCTTATCATCTTTTTAAAGATAAAATATTTTATCAAAATATATCAATAATATTTTAATATTAAAGACTAGAAGGAATGAAATTTTTATTAAAATATCCAAAAAGTAAAAAAGAATAATAATAAGTTATATATTTTTTATTGGGCATTTATATTTTCATCAAATAAGCTTATAAGTCAATTAAATAAATTATAAATTGAAACACTAATTAACTAAATAAGCTCGTAATTTATCCAGGTCAATGAGGCTTTTTTTTTCTTTCTATTTTCCGAGAGTTAAATCAAGCCAAAATTAACTTTTCAATTTGATTAGTAATATTTTATTGATTATGAGAAAAACACAAATTTGCATTCTTTGAGCTGATATTATATATCCTTATATTGTCAGCGGGTTGAAGGCCCTATAAAATATTCATATATACTAAATTCCACATTTCCTTGTAAGATTTGATAAAATGACTGCCATTGTAGGATTAACAAATTATTCATTTGGATTGAAAAAAAATGAGGTCACTATGACTTCCTTAAGATAATTACATTAAATTTAAACCGACTTTAAAGTAGTCTAAATAAAATCCCTTTCATAAGGCAATTAATTACATGTATACATTAACAAAAGAAACTCGAGGTCAACCATATCCCCATGAATATATCTAGAGTCAGAGACAAATCCAGAAAGAGACTTTTCCTCTAAACAGGTTAAATAATTCAGGGTAAATTAAATTGATGTCCTTTTGAAAATTTATTTAATATTTGTTCTTGTTTTAACTTACATAAAAACATTTTAATTCATATAATAGTATAATAATGTGTATTCTTTTCTTTCAGTTAGCATAAACTTTTTTCAAAATTTGCATATAATTATATTAGATGGAAGAAAATTACAGTAACGTAAAATAGTAAATATCAAGTATAATCTTAAAAAAGTAAAAAAAGCTACAAACAAATATGTAAATAATCATGGAAGACCCAATGATTGAGAAGGAAAGGAAACCAGACCAACCCCTCTAACAAAACCTTATGATTTGAGATTTTTGGATATGAAATCCACATAATTAACCGATGCAAAATTCTATATAGTTCTAAGCTTTTTTTATTTTAATCTTAAACCTAGGTCATTTCATTGCAATATAACGTAACGATGAAAAAATGAGCATGTATATACCGTACTAATAACAGTATGTTTAGTTTGACGTTAGCATGCAAATTGATTTATATTTATTTTTTAACACATTGTATTCACTGTATTCAAAATTGAGATCCTATGTTAAGTTGTTTTAGTAAAGTACATACTACTTTGATATAAATGTAATGTTTAAATTGAATTAAATCAAATTAATTTTTAAAAATTTGGTTTAAATGGCTTTATTTATTTTTATCTGGATTTTTAATTTAATGTTTTATTTTATTTTATTATTTGAAAACAAATAAAGAGGAAAGTTGTTAGTTAAAATCATAAAATTGTGAAAGAATAATAATTTTTTGATAAAAAGGAGAAAAAAGTATACTTAATTGAGAAAAAAGAGTAAAATTTTAATGTAGATAAGAGCACAATTTATTTAAATAAAATTATGGTAAGACTAAAGATAAAAAAAAAAAAAATTATATGTAAAGAAACAACAGGCAAAAGCAATATAAAAATATTAATAGGTTAATATTCAATATCATTCGATTTTATTAAGAAAAATTAAAATTTGAAACGAACTGTAATAAAAATAAATCACTGTTTTTAAATTTTTGAATTTTTGGTTTCAATGCTTTTATTTGTAATTTGTGGAATTTTTTTTTGTGTGGTATCTTTTCTTTTTGGATGATTTTTTTAACGGGGCTTTAATATCTTTTAGAAAAATGTTAATACGTAGCTTTAAAACATCAACTAAAAATTAAAAATATTATTGACACACATTAAAACTTTTATTTTAATCTCACCTGATTTTTACTTAAAAAAATTTATTTAATAATTTTTTATTCTGGTTCATATAAAACCCTTGTATTTTGTTGAGCAATTCTTCAAAACACACTGTCAATGGTTGAGATGTTTGATATATAATTTGTTTTTCTTTTAGAAATTATATTCTTTTAAAAATTTTATTTTTTTGATAATATTAAAAATATATTTAGTATGTCTAAAATATTATATAATATTTTTTAGACTATTTTATTTCTATCTCATATTTTGTTTAAATATTACTTATTATGAATATGAATATATTTTTCAAAACAGAGCTAGATTTGGTATTTATTTATTTTTTCTAATGTAATTTGATCATTCAATTTTAGGTATACTGACCTTTTTTCACCCTATTTATTTATTTTTCTAATCTCTCTATTTAATAAAATTTTAGTGTATTTTTAGTCTCTCAGCAGAAGTGAAACTACATAATTTTTGGAATGTTTTCGAATAGAAAACAAAGAACTTAAATATGCTTTTACTCTCCAACAGTAAATTATTATTAAAATTACAAATTTTTACTCTTTGACAAAGGTCTATTTTTTTATGTTAATATAAAATTAAAAAATATATTTTAAGCAAAAAAATTATTTAAGTAAAAATTTAAATAGTGATTGAAAAAAAAAATTAAACAGTTTATCATTATTACTTTTGAAATTTAAAATGGCAAGACTGAGGGTTGGTTGTGCATATTATTGTATTGAGAGATTATTGTGTTGATGATATACACATAAATTAATTATTATAAATTAAATAGTAGAATACCCCATTTTGAAAGGAAAAAACAAATACATTACGTGTCAGAAAATTTGTTTTTCTTTTAACGTAGGAATATAAAATATAAACATTGGTAATACATTTGGATGACAAAATAACATAGTTTAAAATATTCAGACATACACACCTTATCATCGAGTATATGCAGAAAAATGAAAGGAATTTTTTCTTACATTGACTCAAATGTTCGTTGGGCTTTATTTTAATAATAATAAAAAAAGCTAAACACTTGCAAAATGTTAGCTGAACTACAGTCATTTTAAAACATGTGAGAATTTATATTTTTTAAATTATAATTTGACTCAACTAAAAATTTTCACCTAGAAATCGTGGTTTGAAATTTAACATTATGTTCAAACTCAATTTAATTCTGATTTGACAAAGTACGTTACGTATAGATGAAGCTCAAATTATATTTAAAATGTTTATCTCAAAAGAAAATTTATAAAAAAATAATATAAAATTTTCATTCGAAACAAAAATTTCAATTCATTTTTCATTTATAAGAAAACTTACATTTAAACAAAGCTTATTTTACAATTGAGCCATGGAAACACGTTTTAATCTAAAATGTCGTTTACAAGGGCGCAGAAGAGCGAACGTGCGTTTTGTTAATCGAATCGGTGTCTTGGGAGAGAACAGCGGTTTTGACAGTAAAGAGGTCGACTGTTTGGTTCAATTCAATTTCGGTTGCATTGAGGAGCCGTCAAAACTGCCAAATTTGACCCACGGGAATGATTTAAGTCAAGCGAGCTCTCATTATTAAATAATATGAAAATACATTACAAGAAAATATCCTGAGATATTATTAGAAATTAACTTCCATTAAATAATGATTTTTTTATTGTATTAAATAATAATAATTAATTAAAGAGATAACATTTTAAAAAACTATTAAAATATTATCTCTTTAATTTTAACTTGAAAGTGTATGTC